TGTAATTATTGTGTATATTTTTGTGAATTTTGTATGTTTTCATTTTGAGGCCGTTTTTCAAACAAAAAGAATTTCCTCCGGTTTAATAAAGTTATATCTTATCTTATCTAGTTCTCATCGCGTTATGTTCTCATATACTGGACAAAAGTAGTTTGCAAATTTTGAAATTATGAATAATGATCTATTTTTATTCATTGTCACACTGATAAAATATCAATCATAAAAATACCAATTTCCCATAACTTTTTTTTTCCAGTATATATGCTTCTCATAGTGGTTAAAGAGCTCGCTCGTTACGCCGAAGACCCGGGTTCGATTCCACGTATGGGTACAATGTGTGAAACCCAATTCTGGTGCTAAAAGCTGGTGTTAAAACCTCACTCACTGACTCTTGTTCTCATGGTGCAATGTGTGAAGCCCATTCCTGGTGCTAAAAGCGTAAACCTCACTCACTCACTCTTGTTCTCATGGTGCAAATGTGTGAAGCCCATTCCTGGTGCTAAAAGCGGCGTAAACCTCACTCACTCACTCACTCACTCTTGTTCTCATGGTGCAATGTGTGAAGCCAATTCCTGGTGCTAAAAGCGGCGGCGTAAACCTCCTCACTCACTCACTCTTGTTCTCATGGTGCAATGTGTGAAGCCCATTCCTGGTGCTAAAAGCGGCGTAAACCTCACTCACTCACTCTTGTTCTCATGGTGCAATGTGTGAAGCCCATTCCTGGTGCTAAAAGCGGCGTAAACCTCACTCACTCACTCTTGTTCTCATGGTGCAATGTGTGAAGCCCATTCCTGGTGCTAAAAGCGGCGTAAACCTCACTCACTCACTCACTCTTGTTCTCATGGTGCAACTCTTGTTCTCATGGTGTGAAGCCTCATTCCTGGTCTCATGGTGCAATGTGAAGCCCATTCCTGGTGCTAAAGCGGCGTAAACCTCAAACTCTTGCGGCGTAAACCTAAACTCGGCGTAAACCTCACTCACTGACTCTTGTTCTCATGGTGCAATGTGTGAAGCCAATTCCTGGTGTTAAAAGCGGCGTAAACCTCACTCACTGACTCTTGTTCTCATGGTGCAATGTGTGAAGCCAATTCCTGGTGTTAAAAGCGGCGTAAACCTCACTCACTCACTCTTGTTCTCATGGTGCCGCCAGATGGGTGGAATATATTTGTTTGAATGCGGCGTTAAACTACTAACCAGTCTCATGGTGACTCTTGTTACAAGTTTACTCGGGTATTCTCATTATACAAACAACACGTCCCTTTTACAAACACTTTTATTTACAAAATTATGTGGACATGCGGAAGTTTTTGTTTCGAGAATAAAAACTTTCATTATATCAATATAAAAACGTATTATTGCTAGTTCTGTCAGTCCTCTATTGTCAGTAGTTCTGACTCGGACTTCCAAGCACAGCCATGTTTCTGTGGCAATAAGTGGATGTTTATATGGTCATCCCTGGTTCAGTGTCCATATCATTGTATTCCGTTAATGATATATCGTCTGTGAACACTGGAAAAAAAATTGAAAACTAAACTCATACAGAATCTATTGGTTAGTGTTGTGAAAAGTAGAGCAACTTCGTATTAAACAGTGGTAAACGAAGGCCTTTAGATCTAGAGGCAGTTTTGAGGATACACCCAGAGACGAATTCAGCAGTTTGAGGAGACTGGTAATTAATTAACTCAACAAAGACATATAACAAATGCACATACGTATTAGTTTGGAGGGACGGTGGGGTAGCCTAGTGGTTAACTCACGCCGAAGACCCGGGTTCGAATCCCCACATGGGTACAATGTGTGAAGCCCATTTCTGGTGTCCCTCGCCGTGATGTTGCTGGAATATTGCTAAAAGGGGCGTAAAACCAAACTCAGTCAGTATTAGTTTGGTTTGTATCTTACCTTCCTCTTGGTGAGATTTCCGTGTATATTTTCGCTGTTGAGAAACAAAACGCAAGTTAAAATACTTTTATTTTACAAATCAAATCCGTCTCTCTCTCTATCCTATTCGTCACTTCCATTGATAGTACAGTAAACTACGCTTATGACAAACGAACTGATATTTGAGAAGTTTTTGAGTTTTTGTGATTTTTTTGTTTTTTACTTTTTTTCTACACCGTATGTTTTAGTCGAAACACGCAAGGCACTACGGTTATAACGAACCAACATTATTGGTCCTTTTGAATTCGACACAACCGTTGTTTGCATAATGCTGATTCCGGCTTCGAATGATAGATGTCTAAATGGATCAGGATAGGTGACGTCATGGGTCACTGTTCACAACACCACGTGATTGTCTGTTCAAGAAACGATTGACTACATAAACCCGTCATTGCAGAAATAGTGAAGCAAAAATAACAAACTGCATCGATATTTAGTAACATCTTACCAACAGTTCCAGTAGGAGGCCAAACATAATGGCCAGGATGGTGGCGCCGAACATGACGAACATTACAACACCAAAGGCTAGTTCCCCGTAGTCTCTCTGAAACTGAAGCGAAAACTGTTGTTAATTTCATGTATCTTCCAGCTGAGAATTTTTAATTATAATGTACTGTTCAAAATTAGGTTGATAAAAAGGTCATATTGGTTCTTGTTAGTAGACGGGATAGTTTCAGAAAGTATTGCACAGCTTGGTCTCCCAACGGACCTCCGTACGCTTGCGCTAGGGCTTGGACGGGTAACCCGGATATCCGGGACGGATACCCCCCCACGATGGGTGATGAGTTGGACCCGAGTACCCGTCTCAATACCCGGACCTGCTATGATCATGCACTAACATATTAAACAATGTAATACGTTATTCTTTCATGATTAAAAGGTTGTATTGTCTTTGAAGATTTAGACATAATTGTGGGGTCGGTCACCTGTTTTGAAAATAATACATGGTTAAGATATTGAAAAACTCGAAATTGTAGCCTCTGAGCTGAAGAATATATTGCCATTTCTTAAAAATTTGATGTCAGGAATTAACAAAACGGGTATCCGGGTAGGTTAGGGTAATAGGGGGTGGGGTACCCGGGGTGAAAATGTGGGCTCGTCCCAGCCCTAGATTGTGCGTATGTAAGCAGAGCTTGGGAAGACAGTGATATCTTTACAGAAACCTCTGAAGTAGGGACCAAAATACTGCAATAAACAGAGGACTATGCTGTCACAATAGCGAGGAAACAAACTAGCATAACAGCTTCCCATATTGAAAGTAAACTATTGCATTAGGTATTTTATGAGCTGTGTGGTTTCTTGCACCGAACATAAATAAAGTTAAAATACAGATCTGTACCATATTGTTTGAACTCTGGAGGACAGGGCCCGGCTCCACAAAGGGATCTTAACGCAAAAGTAATCGTAACTTCCACACGTAAACATTGGCCTACGGAAGTCATTACGCTCGGATCACTTCGTGGAACGGGCCCCAGATCACCCAGTCGTCCAAAGTGCAGCGTTTCGAGAAGCGGATTTGCGTCTCTAGGAGTGAGTGAGTGAGTTTTACGCCGCTTTTAGCAATATTCCAGCAATATCACGGCGGGGGACACCAGAAATGGACTTCACACAATGTGCCCATGTGGGGAATCGACCCCGGGCCTTCGGCGTGACGAGCGAACGCTTTAACCACTGGGCTACACCACCGCCCCCGTCTCTAAGACGTTCCAGATCTCTACGCCCGTGGGTTTGGATCCCATATGCGATCTGAATGTTTTTCTAGGTACATCAGGTCTATACAGCCAATGTCTAAGACCCGCATCGACTCAACCTTTCCTCTCGTATCAAGCTCAAGCATCGTCTACAAATACTCTCCATCTCGCTCACGTAATCTACCTTGCGTTCTTCAAGCTCCAGGTACATCCATATCTTGTAGCGGGTGATCCAGATTGCCTGTACAACAATAACTTTAATATCAGTATCAACAATACACGGTCCTTGGTTTACTACTTAAATGCCGAGCTCCAGGCAAGGTAATAACAAATAACATTATTTGGAGTGACACGATCTGGGATGAAACCACCAACCGTGCGCTCTCGGGCCGGATTATCTATCAACTACGCCATGGAGGAAAGAGGTGAAGATCCCAAGTTTTACATTGTTCCTCCCGTGTCTTGTTGATCGGTCTATGGCGAGAACAGACGCAGGACCTAAAGTCCGTTTGGCTCAAAAGCGGACCGATGAATTGCAATCTAACTCGAAAACTAATAAACATAACATACTCAATGAAACACTGATCATAATCAAAACATCATACCCACTCTGTGAGGTTTTTGCAGAATTTATGTCCTAAAAATAAAAAGTTGTTTAACAAACTATCATTAAAATATTGACACAGTTCACTGTTTGTTACGAGGAGGAGTGCAGAGAAAGGGAGAGCCAGGTGTGCGAGAAGCACGTTCACAGACAAAGTTATTTATTCATTAACCTGTGCTGTGCCGTCTCCATCCGTTCTCGAACACCTGGCTGTCCCTTTCTCTGCACTCCTCCCTCGTAACAAATAGTGAACTGTGTCAATATTTTAATGATAGTTTGTTAAACAACTTTTTTATTTTCGCACAAAAATTCTGCAAAAACCTCACAGAGTGGGTGGTCTTCGATGTTTTGATTATGATCAGCGTTTCATTGAGTATTTTATGTTTATTAGTTTCCGAGTTAGATTGCAATTCATCGGTCCGCTTTTGAGCCAAACGGACTATAGATGCTTTCAAGCTCTCTTAGCCCTAAGATAGTCGTAAGTTAATGTTGAGGTAAGACACTTACGACTATCTTAGCGCTAAGAGACCTTCGAAAATCTAGTCCCGGGTGACGTTCTGCGACTGGACTGTGTTTGAGCCCATGGCCATGTTTCAATTACCATGGTTCTTACGTCCATCTCAATAATCAAATCAACTAAACTCATTTTAGATGTATCATTTTTGTTTGTTTGTTGTTAAAATCTCTTATTTACAGACCACGACATACAGCTGGAACATTGCTGGGTACGGCGGTAAACAACAACCAAACCAAACTATATAACTCACCGTTCCATCCATGTTACCAATGGCACATCTATACCTGTCTTTCGTAGGTAGGTACATGTCAATTACGTCATTGCAGGTTACTGGTCTGTCGGTGTCGCAGTTGCTGCCGGGGGCATGTACCAGGATGTCGTAGTGCCATACTGACTTGTTAAGTGCATCTTGGTAACCCTTGACAACAAAGCATCACCTCCGTTACACCTCCGTGACAAGTTTTCATATCAAATCTCATCACGCAACATCATCATCAACACCATTACTTCAATACATCACCATGTGTCTCCAAAACATATCAAGCTGTGCACGTCTGACCTTATTGGCAATACTGACAATTTAATGCTAATATATTTTTGCCTCTGTTTGCTGTTATTTTTTACGAAATCCTAATGTTGCCACTCTTGTAGCATAAAATATATTTTACAGCCCATGTTCTCGTTGCTTCAAATGTTTTTTCGTTGCTTCGAATAGTTTTTCGTTGCTTCGAATAGTTTTCGTTGCTTCGAATATTTTTTCGTTGCTTCGAATATTTGTTCGCTGCTGCGAGTATTTTCTCGTTACTTCAACTATTGTTTCGTTGCTTCGAGTATTTTCCAGGTTTTGAAAGAAACTTGAAGCAACGAGGACATACTTGAAGCAATGAGAAATTAATCAAAGAAAAGCGCAGTGAAAAAATAATTAATGTAACGAGAAAGTAGTCAAAGTAACGAGAAAATTATTGAATTAGCAAAGAGAATTGTCGCTGAAAAAGTAATATTTGTTACAAAAGTGGCAGGATTAGGCTTTCGTAATTGTTATCGATTTTCAAAATATGAGATATTATCTTTATTTATAATACACATGAACAGTTTTCCTTTAATGAATGTCTTCCGGTATATTTTATAGGCTATGGTGACTGGTAAATCAACAACAAAACACATCATCTTTGTTTATCGATCAAGAAGCCCTTTTTTAGCAGATTGTGAAAAAGCAAGAGACATATTTTTTTAATTTAATCAATATTTCATATAGTTTGGTATCATTCAGCAGTAAGTAAGTTCAGGTCATGTACATTTACAGGGCAGGACTTAAAAACATTAAACCTCCACAACCGATGTATTGAAGCTAGACTCTCACCATGCCTTTAGCCAAGGTCTGATCTGCCTCAAAATCAGCCAGTCTGAAGATCATCAGCGTCATGTCGGGGTTGTACTAGGAAATGGGTAGTTATAAATAAAACAAACAAAAATTATTTCGATTTATCTTTTTATGACAAGGATTTATGGAGTTATGATTTTAGACTTTGTTAACGACATCAACAGTATACTATAATATTTCTTGACTACTGCTAGTATCAAACTGAGAACGCTCACAAAACTTCTTGTTTTATCATATGAGCCAAAATTATCACATATATTATCAGTATAGCACGTTAGGCTAGTGAGTGAATTACGTTTTATGCCGCTTTTAGCAGTATTTTGTAGCAGGGGATACCAGAAATGGGCTTCACACATTGTACCCATGTGAGGAATCGAACCCGGGTCTTCGGAGTGACGCCTGAACGCTTCAACCACTAGGCTACCCCACCGTCTCCTTTGACAGAAATATGCAACGTTAACGTCTAGACATAATAAGTCTCCGTCATCAACCGAAACAGCTTCCATTGTTCACTGAAAGAATATGACGAATTGTATAACGTACTAGAGTGGCAATATTTGCTTACTGTTTTTGAATACAAAGCGAACGCTTTCACCATTCTCTCAAGGTAAACAGTTATTTAACAATATAGAACAAACTTTATGGATAACAACTTCTTTTTATTCGTGAGTGCGACGTTTCGATACAGATTCTTGTACCGTTGTCAAGGATAACAACTTCTTTTTATTCGTGAGTGCGACGTCTCGATACAGATTTTTATACCGTTGTCAAAGATAACAACTTCTTTTTATTCGTGAGTGCGACGTTTCGATACAGATTTTTGTACCGTTGTCAAGGATAACAACTTCTTTTTATTTGTGAGTGCGACGTTTCGATACAGATTCTTGTACCGTTGTCAAGGATAACAACTTCTTTTTATTCTTGTACTGTTGTCAAGCATATGCATATGCATATGCTTGACAACGGTACAAGAATCTGTATCGAAACGTCGCACTCACGAATAAAAAGAAGTTGTTATCCATAAAGTTTGTTCTATATTGTACTTCCCAACTTCTAAAATGCCACTCAAAGAAGTTATTTAACAGAATGGCAAGGTTTAGGTGTCACCATTACTTACGGTGTTGGTAGGGAACTGGAAACTGTAGTCAATCATCGAGGTCTTGTTATACGCCCTGAACGTTGAGTTGAACACGTACATCTAAAACATGAACATAAACATTCACAGGTACAAAATGAGGATAATAGGCAATAGTCGCGATCCATCACCTAAACCAAATATTTTGTTCGAAGAAAATGTCATTTTACTGCCGATATCTTTTACATGTTATTATATTTAGTACGTGAAGTTTTATACGGTTTGTAACAATGTTCTAGCATTATTACGGCAGGGAACATCACAGAACGAACTTAAACCCTTGTGGGAATCGAACACGGTCTTCGGCGTGACAACAGAACGCTGTAACCACTAGACTACCGCACCAACCCCTATTGTGTAATTGGAAAAAACTTATTTTCAGATACCCACTCTTAGGGACTCCCTGTTATGTTTGAATGTGAGTGAATGAGTGAGTGAGTGAGTGAGTTAAGTTTTATGCCGCTTTTGAGCAATATTCCAGGAATATCACAGGAATCTGCTTCACACATTGTACCCATGTTGGGAATCGAATCCGGGTCTTCGGCGTGGCTAGCAAACGCTTTAAGCACTCGGTGTGTGGGTGGGGTGGGGCGGGGGTGTGGGGTGGGGGTGTGTGTGGGTGGTTTGTGTGTGTTTAGCCTAGTGGTTAAAGCGTTCGCTCGTCACGCCGAAGACCCGGGTTCGATTCCCTACATGGGTACAATGTGTGAATCCATTTGGCGTGATATTGCTGTAATATTGCTAAAAGCGGCGCAAAACTAAACTCACTCACTCACTTTAAGCACTCGGCTACCCCACCGCCCTAATTCTGTATGTGTGTTATTTAAAACCAGGGTATTACAGCTATGTAGGGCGACATGTAACAAAACAAGGCAAACCAGTTACGTTTGAGGTGGTCGTGGGGGAATTGGGTTTAACGTCGTGCTTGAGAATATTTCGCTCATATGACGACGTGCATGCGTGTGTTTGTGCATGTGCGGCTGCTTGTACTAGCCCAGACTTAAGCTAGTTTTATAGTGCTAGCCCATTGAGATACCATGCCGCAGTGAAGCATGAGTACCCCACTCAGACACATTATACTGACTCCGAGCCGACCAGTCCTTGTTGTACCCATTAATGCCGAGCGCCAGGCAGGGACCAACAAGTACCATATTTTAAAGTCTTTTGGTATGACGCGGTCGGGGCTCGGACCCGCGACCTTCCGCTCTCCGGGCGGACGCTCTAACCACTACACCACGGAGGCGGTCAGTTACGTTTGAAGGCAATACTTACCCCATTGTTGTGCATATGTCCAGCCTCCCTCATGATGTCTTCTCTCCTCGACACCACACATGTTGACAGACACAGTACAACAAACACACCTGCTCTCATCATAACATCACGACGTCGTGACTACAGCGTCATCTACAACACCGACAGCCACGACACACAACAGCAGCAGACACCAACGCCGGCAACAGTACAAAGACAACACCAGCAGCAGTAGCAGAGGTCACGGTAATTGACACTAACAGTACGTGACCACTATTTCAGTAGTTAACCAGCAACTACAGTAGGTAACACAGTCATCCCAAACAACAGAACCCGATGCCGACTTGCCATGGGTTGATGATCCGAGTTGCATGGTGCAACAGGTGTGCCTTGACAATTGTGTGTCAATTGCTTGCTTGTGTCAATTGCTTGTGACATGTGTCAATTGCTTCTCCGCGTCATATTTGAATGATTTATTCTGATAAAATTGATATTTCATGCTTGGCCCAGTCTTAATATTCAAAGAGCTTTGTCAACTTCCTCCAATAAAAGGCATAACGTAGAGTTGCATTGATATTGATTCGTACGACATGTCTATAGTTGATTGTAACTGCTGGAAGTGGGGCTGTCATTAGTAATGAAAAGAAGTAACCTCGGAATCTTTCCTTTTTTCAGTTTTTTAAAAGAAAGATCAAAATCCTTATTTTATTTACTACAAGGCCGTTAGTGAATGAGTTTGGTTTTATGTCGCGTTTAGCAATATTCCAGCAACATCACGGCGGGGGACACCGGGAATGGGCGCCTCACATTGTACTCATGAGGGGAAACAATGCTGTTTAATTTGGCACATTTGGTATAATTACAAATGATGGAGAAGCGACTGATTGGGTGTTGTTTTATGCCAATAAACATAGTTTCATCTTCATCCCGACGTGCCGAAGACCCGGGTTCGAATCCCCACATGGGTACAATGTGTGAAGCCTATTTCTGGTGTCCCCCGCTGTGATGTTGCTGGAATATTGCTAAAAGCGGCTTAAAACCAAACTCAGTCAGTCATCCCGACGTAGGTTGGTGAGGTAGCCGAGTGGTTTTCGCTCGTCGCGCCGGGTCAGGGTTTGATTGTCCCCATGGGTACAACATGTGAAGCGCATTACTGGTGTCTTGGTCAGTGTGTGAAATGGTTTCCAAATTGTGCTAGCCAGTTCGGGCTAGCTATGCCTGAAAACTACTAGCCACAACATTATTCACAAGCCCGAAATCTGAAGGTAGCAACTAAACAAAACATTACAAAAATAGATGAGAATAAGATATTGTGGCATGACACGGAAGTTTCATCATTAAGCTGCTTATATGATGAACATTTTGTACCAGGCCATAATCTTGCATAAATTTAAAAGTGTATTATGACGTAACAAGTCGAAGAGAGTGATATATTTACAAAATGAACCCATGAAAATTCACTAGCCAGTCGGGCCAGTGACTGGGAAGATTTACTGGCCCGATTGGATTTTTACTATCCACGGGCTAGCGGGCCAGTGGCTATTTCGAACACTGGTCTTGGTGCCCCCCGGCCCCGATTTGTATTACTGCATTATTGCTAAAAGCGGCTCACTCACTCACTCCGTAATCCTGTTATACATTATGCTGGGACAAGCAATGATGTTAACAGCATGCGGGTATTGAGGTTATTGAGTTATCGTAACCGAAAGATGATCGCACGGGAGTTTGGAGAGGTGCTGCTATTCTGGCCTTTTTATCAACTGTAGGAGTAAGGCCCCGACATGGCGACAGAGTCAGCGGTTATAGGATTACCGCACGGGATTTTGGAGGGGTGAAGGTAAGTGAGTGAGTTTAGTTTTACGCCGCTTTTAGCAATAGTACAGCAGTATCACGGCGGGGACACCAGAAATGGGTTTCAGACATTGTACCCATGTGGGGAATCGAACCAGGGTCTTCCGCGTGACAAGCGAACGCCTTACCACTAGGCTAACCCACCGCCTTGGAGGGGTGGGATATTCTGCCCTTTTTAATCAAGTGTGACCCGTGAAGGTCCGTGTAAGAATGAACCTTTAGTAACCCATGCTTGTCGTAAGAGGCGACTAACGGGATCGGGTGGTCAGGCTCGCTGGCTTGGTTGACACATGTCATCGGATCCCAATTGCGCAGATCGATGCTTATGCTGTTGATCCCTGAATTGTCTGGTCCAGACTCTATTATTTACAGACCACCGCCATATAGCTGGAATATTGCTGAGTGCGGCATAAAACTAAACTCACTCATTCATTTAATCAAGTGTAGGACAAAGGCCCTGAGAAATCTAAGCATGGGGCCAAGTGCGGTTATATAGTGCGTTTGGCTCAAAAGCGGACCGATGAACAGGTGTTAGAGAAGCACGTGCACAAGTACCGACAAAGTTATTGATTCATCAACCTGTGTTGTGCCGTCTCCATCCTTTCTCGAACACCTGGCTGTCCCTTTCTCTGCACTCCTCCCTCGTAACAAATAGTGAACTGTGTCAATATTTTAATGATAGTTTGTTTAACAACTTTTATATTTTTAGGACATAAATTCTGCAAAAACCTCACAGAGTTGGTCTGACGTTTTGATTATGATCAGCGTTTCATTGAGTATTATATGTTTATTAGTTTTCGAGTTAGATTGCAATTCATCGGTCCGCTTTTGAGCCAAACAGACTGTAGGTGTAGCCCGTGGCTGATTGCGAGTCTTTGTACCCCTTTACCATGGGTTGTTCATGATATCAATCACGGGCTTACAATCCATCGTCACGTGGATGAGGTGTTCTTGCGAGTGGCGTTAGACAACAAACGCAAATAATGCTGCCTCTAAATAGGGATCGAATATGTGAACAGTTACCTCCCTTGTCATGCAACCTGCGCTAGCATCTGATAATTAGTTGTGACAGTGCGCAACTGCAAACAACCGCGAATGCCAGCTGATTGTTTATCCATCTGTGTGTATTGAACAGCATCTGATCTGGCCATCTGTCCATTGTATGAAATGCCCTGCATAGTGAACAGCGACAAAGGAAAAAAACAACAACGTGGAATGGTGATGATATTCACCCAACTACATTTATAACGAACACGCTTGTAACGAACTGACGGATAAGTCGAAGCAGTTTTGTGGGGAATAAGGCCACTAAGTGTTTTTTTTGGTCGAAATGCGTTCAGCGAACTAAGTTTAGTTTACTGGGTGTAGATTAGCATTGCCATATGTACAAAGTGACTGGGTCGCGTTTTGTTACCAAGTACCCACTGATGTCGACACCATAGGGCACAGTGCGAGTTTTGTGGCCTTAATTGTGTCATAAGATCAGTCTTTGGGGTGGGGGGAGAGGGGTCGTTTTGATGTTTGCTTAATGCCTCACTCAACAATATTCCAGCAATGTGATAGCGGTCTGTGTATAGTCGAGTCTAGATCAGATAGTCCAGTATATGACATCCTGAGCAACAATCTGCACAGTTGGGATACGATGACATCTGTCAACCAAGTCAGCGTGTCATAACCGGACCACCCGATCCCGTTAGTCGCCTCTTAGCGACAAGCATGGGTTGCTGAAGACCAGGGCCCAGATTTTCGAAGCTCTCTTAGCGCTAAGATAGTCGTAAGTGCCATACATTAACAGTAACTTACGACTATCTTAGAGCTAAGAGAGCTTCGAAAATCTCGGCCCAGTAGGTGATCGTAGCATGAAGTGAACGCAGTTTAAGCAGTGTATTGATTATTGGGCGTTATGTAATATATTCCTAGTTCTGCATCAATACATAGTTAGGTGGGCATGTTAAATGTCCTGAAAAATTCCGTTAGGGGAAATAAACCCTATTAAAACAAAACCCTCTGCGTAATATTATATCAATAATAAATAATAATAATAATAATAAATGACGAATTAAAATGGGGAAAATATGTCTTCAGACCAACCGGTTTCTAAGAGCTGACACAGAGCTAGCTGTCACTGAGCGAGGTTCAACCTGCTATCTAGTTCATCATTCAGAATGCTGCACGTGTTTACTGAGCCATTCACTATAACGATGTCGGCATGTCTATATCACCAGCTGGCACATAGCCATAGACCATCCAATGATTGAGGAGTATATCAATATTTCATGTTTTGTAAGGTTATGGTTGTTACACATCATATTTAGAACCCACGATTGTTCGATACCATCTTCCAGGGACCTAACCTCGCTGTCAGTTTATTGCTGAAGGTACAAGAGCTTTACTCCCTCTTCGTCATACTAGGATCTCAATAGGGATTATAACTCGTTATTGCCCTCCAGAATATGGAATTAATTTAGGACATTAGAAATCCGTAATACGTTTTAAACCAACTATGCTTGCCATGATGATCTATGACTGAATTCAGACATACTTGGATACTTGGGTGTGGGTTCGCATCCCGGATGGGGCTCAACTCAAAAAAAGTACTAGAATTTGTACTTTACTTAGAAAGTGTAATCCCAAATATAACATATGTTACATACTTGGATACTGTCACACAAGTATCTGATGACTATCGGCCCAAAACATCTACATCGACGGTACCATCTACCATCTTTTCACATTGGAGACTGTGAAATTGAAATCAGCAAACAAGCTCGAATGGTGGGCGTGATCTTTGACAGCAGTCTCAGTCTTGAGTCTGCAGACGAGCCTATTTCCACATCAGGAATACTGGGCTAAAAAGGCGGTTCCACGACCAGTATGTAACCATCTCACTCGTCCAGGCTCACGTAACATCTCGCCTGGACTACTGCAACTCCCTCCTCTTCGGGCTGCCCAGCTACCTGATCAAGAAACTGCAACAAGTGCAGCACACCGCAGCAAGAGTTGTCCGCAGGAAGAGGAAATTCGACCACATACAACCAGTCCTGCAGGACCTACACTGGCTGCCAGTGCACTACTGGATACAGTACAAGATACTTGTATTGGTGTTCCTGTCCCTCCATAACAAAGCACCAGATTACCTCAGCAGTCTGCTGACCAGATACCACCCACCTAGGACACTGCGCTCATGTGTCAAGTCTCTCCTAGCTGTACCCTCCTCCCGTACAAAAATGTTTGGTGACCGTTCTTTTGAAGATCATAAGCAACCTGATGAAGATCATAAGATCATAAGCAACCTGATGAAGATTTTGAACGTGCAGGACCCCTTCTGTGGAACAGTCTCTTGACATAAGATCCAAACTTGACATAAGATCCGAGCCAACATCACGGGGATTCATCAAATTCAGAGTATGTGAAGACGTTCCTAAGTACAGAACCCATAAACGAGTCACCTCCCAGAGCGATGAAGATCTTAAGTTACTGATGAAGATCATATTAGTTACAGAAACCAATGGCATGGAAGCAATCATTTATCCGTGTTGACGTTGCGCCGTCTATACCTGTATGTATGTACATAATATTGTCTCATGCTATTCATTGATTGGTCTTAAATTCAATGCAAGTAAATTACAAGTCACATTGGCCGTTCCAATGTAAATAAATTACAAGTAAGAACATTTAAAGGAAGTAATTTCACGTCTTCACGCAATCAGAAGGAACAGGTATGTTTATGAAAAAATATGTTTTATTGGAAAAAGAAGTAATTCATGATGACAGTACCTGGCGTACCTTTATTTGAGTGAGATGGGTTTAGGTTTTGTTTGGCCTCATCAGTGTCAGTCTAATGTTGGATGGAAGCCCACGTGGTGGCAAGGCTCGGACGTTTACCATTTTGTTGAAAAACACGAGAATAGAACAGGAACACTTCTTGTGGACAGCTGAGTGCGGCGTAAAACTAAACTCACTCACTCACTCTTGTGGACAGACAACTTCTTTATTGCAATAGTGACGTGTCGGTGGAGGTGTTAACACCTTTATCAAACATGTGTTAGCATCTCCACCAAAACGTCTCACCCATTGCAATACCACGTTGTCTGCCCATAACAAAATCGCTCCTGTTCATGTACCGTGAGATGGGATAAGTATGTAAAAATTAATATACAATTTATAGTTAAAATTTCCACTTCTGTTCATGGTTGTATTTAGGTTGAAAGAGGGGCGATGAAGTAGCATAGTTTTTCTAGCGTTCGCTGGTCATGCCGAAGACCCGGGTTCGATTCCCCACATGGGTACATTGTGTGAAGCCCATTTCTGGTGCCCCCACCATGATATTGCTAGAGTATTGCTAAAAGCAGCATAACACTAAACTAACACTTCGGCGTGACGAGCGAACGCTTTAACCACTAGGCTACCCCAAGGCCGCAGAATAGGTACTGAAAAAAATAGACAACATCATCCGGACGAATTTGTGATAAGATCCTAGCTCGCCTAAGGAACTGGTGTCGTAGTTCCCCCAGCAGCAGTGATACTACTGAGTTAGTGAGTGACTTTAGTTTTACGCTGCACTCAGCAATATTCTAGCTATATGGCGGCGGTATGTAAGTAATCGAGTCTGGACCAGACAATCCAGTGATCAACAGCATCGGACAACGCATTAGGGAATCGATGACATGTGTCAACCAAGTCAGTGAGCCTGACCACCCGACCCCGTTAGTCGCCTCTTACGTAAAGCATGGGTTACTGAAGATCAATATTCTAACCCGGACCTTCACGGGTATAATAGTACTGACAACATTAACAACAACAGCTGCTGTTGTTTTGTACTACTACAACAGATGTTGTTGTTTGAGCAGCAGCTGCAGCAGTAGTCGTAGAGGTTGTAGTAGTACCAGTGTTTTTAAAATCCCAGTGAACAACACAACGCCACACTGTCGTGATCACGCCTCCGTTTCTGTCTGACCAGGTGGTATCTTTGTGTGGCTGCTGATCTGGCACTTCTTCTTTTCAGGATGGTACAGGACAACCGACGAACATTTACGCATGGCGAAAAACACCAGGAAGAAAACCAACAGCAGTAGAAATATGGATCCCAATAATATCCCTATCACCATGACGTCATAGTGTTCTTTCTTGTCTTCCGTCAGTAACTCGAAGTCAGTGACTCTTATGCCCTGTGTAAGAGAGAAGCGGACATGTGATGAAAGAAACAACGAGCTTTTGTATAAATACGGACTAGAACATTCTTCACACGCAGGCACGCGCACGCACACACACGCACACGGACGGAGCGAAGAGAAGTACAGTTTCTTGACTATATTTTTTAATCGTTTTAATTTCACTCTGAATTTTAAGGAAAGTTATTATTGATGATATCTAAAGACACAGACTCCTTGCTGACTCAGTAGTGATTTGTACTGGATTAAAAACCATACCATGAATGGTGCTGAAAGCGGCGTTAAACAAACATATAATAATCCCAAGCAAACAAATATTCATCAATATATAGATCTATGCTCACGTTTGAAAACATTTACAAATATTGACATTGTTCTCGGTTTGACGACTTCCACGTGATCAATGTGTCACATTCCACATCAGTTTATGTTTCACCCGAATGTGACTAGAGTGAGTGAGTGAGTTTAGTTTTACGCCGCACTCAGCAATATTCCAGCTATATGGCGGCGGTCTGTAAATATTCGAGTCTGGACCAAACAATCCAGTGATCAGCAGCATGAGCATCGATCTGCGCAATTGGGAACCGATGGCATGTGTCAACCAAGCCAGCGAGCCTGACCACCCGATCCCGTTAGTCGCTTCTTACGATAAGCATGGGTTACTGACGGGTGAATGTGACTAGAGAAGTTCCATATTTAACTTGTACATCAATTACACTGCAGACAGTGGACTAGAATGTGGAAGTGAAATTATAATTGTCAAAAAATGGTTGCATTGGAAAAAAGAATAAACATAATAAAATAATAAATTTAGCGTTACTTTGGTTTGAATTCTGGGTAAAGGTCCAAATCATAACTATAAATTTATAAAACAATATTCTTTTACAAAAACGAGACACAGAAATACGCGGAATAATATCTATCACTACTTTCAGCTACGGAATATCAGTTTCATGCCAATGTTTCTCGGTTATTATATACTCATGCCAATAATGGTTGTCACCCCTTCAATTTTTTTTATTTGAGAGGGGTGTGGGATGGGGTGGGGGTTGGGGTGGGGAGGGTGACAACCATTATTGGCATGAGTATATATATCGGTAAAAGTTTACTTACATTATTATTATGGCTGCATATTGCTAATGTGTAAAGCTTTTTATCGTTTCCAAAAGACGAAAATGTGCCCGAACACTTGTATAACTCTCCGTACTGGCCGTCCGTGTTGTAGTCGCAGCGTCCACGAGGTGGCTCCACTGTGTGGCTCCATGTCGCCTCAGCCCGTAAATCTTCACAAGACTGAAACAGAGGGTTGGTTTCATTATAGTGCGTGAGTGAGTGAGTGAATGAGTGAGATAGCGTTTACGTTGTATTTAATAATGTTCACTGAAAACCGACAACAGACAACATATTGCAGGCATGTTCTGCATCATTCGTCACCACTCGACACTTTCCGTAAACATCATGCGGCGTGTCCCGGAATAACACGAGTTGGTCGGACATGGTGGTGAACTGATCTGGGATTTCTGCTGACGAGCGAATGCTTGTGAGGTTACACAAAATCAAATATTTTCCACTGACTTCCATAGCAAAGTTATTTTTTAAAAACGTAACTAAGCTATCAATAGCTATTACATGTATATGTGTGCATAGTCTGTCCTTAAAGACGCAATACAAATATAAAATATGAACACCTCAGGCAGCTCTTTTTCCGAGTACAGGAAGCTAAACAGACCATCCCCAGTTCCGCACAAAATGTCAACTGCTTGAAAATACCAGTGGTCACATTCAGTAGACGTCATCATGTAGAAAAAGACAGCACTGAATATTTTAAAATATGGTCAGTTTTAATTACTGGATGGATGTTCATTTAAAAAACACAAAATCACCCAATCAAAGCTGCCAGATGATTCAGTCTGCACTGAAGGTTCGGGACAAAAAGTGCATGAAATGCCAGGTATAGTAACCACCAATCTGGAATAATTCCACATGAGACGCTTTTGACCACTAGCCACATACGATGTTGTCAAGATTAGACAAACTAAAATTTCGCCTTTTTTCAACTTACCAGACCTTGTGCTGTCAAATTGGCCTTCGAGGCATCGAACAACAATAGATCCAGTTTGTGACCCTGTAGAAATAACATATCATTGGAATACCAATATCACATTAGACGAAATTGTACCATTTCTTCGTCCAGTTGCAAACATCTGAGACCTTCATCACGTCTTGCGTTCCTTCCCCATTAAGCTGACGAGCCGTGGTATATGGCACTACTCTTCATATTCACTCAAGGAATGAGTATGGTTTTACGCCGTTTTCAGCAATTGGAAATGAGCAAACACTTCTGCCACGGGACTACCAACACTGGGTGTATAACAAAATCTTTTTCCATAGAAAAACTCAAACATAAAGCATTTCTCGAGACTATAATATGTAGCATCCGCGTGTGACGTCACAACACGATGACGTCACTGTTAGAATGGATCGTGTTTATATGGCGTCATGTACTGTGTAGAGATTATTACACGAGCAAGTGTATTATGAATTACAATACATAACTTTGCAAGAGTTTCGTATAAGTCATATGACACACTTGCCAGAGTGTAATAATTTCTTTATTATCTATTGTATTCATGTACATTTATGCTGTAAAACATGGTAAGCAGGTGTGACAGCCCTCTTCATTGACGTAACGTTCAATTGTTTAATGACGTCAGTCACGTTACAGACGACGAAATACAGAAACAATGGTAGCTAGGCAAAAGTGATATGCGCACATGTGCACATATGATATATATGACACTGGTTATGTTTCACCATATGGGTATTAAAAATATTTATTACACGAGTCAGATTTTCATTCAACAGAATATCATCTTTACATAATGACTATTGTTTTCACTTCTGACGTGTGGTATCCACCATGATGAAAGTATGTAGGATGACTCGTGTAGTTTTAACGAGGGTCTCACCTTGGGTAAAGTCAATGTGTATTCATGCGCAACTGCGTCGTTGTCTGCTTGGATCGTTTCATGGAACACGTACATATGCTGAAACACGTGACACAGAGTTGCAAGACAAAGGCCAAATCATCTCTCTCTCTCTCTCTCTCTCTCTCTCTCTCTCTCTCTCTCTCTCTCTCTCTCTCTCTCTCTCTCTCTCTCTCTCTCTCTCTCTCTCTTCCTCTTCCTCCCTCTCTCTACTTCTCTCCTCTTTCGCTCACCTCCCCACCCTCTACTTCCTCTCCACTCTCGCTCGCCTCTCCTCCCTCTCCCACTCCCCTCTCTTAACTCTCTCTTCCTCTAGCTTTCCCCTCTCCTCTCCTCCCTCTCCTTCTCTTCCTCTCTCTCTCCACTTCCTCCCCTCTCTCGCTCGCCTCACTCCCCTCTTTCTCCCTCTCCCCCCTCTTTCCCTCGTTCCCTCTCTCTTGTCCCTCCTTCCCACCCACCTCCCACTCGCATTCTCTCACCCGTACCTCCCTCCCTTTAAAGTGGCACTTTTTACAACACAACAGAATATGTGTTGTGATCAGGCAAAAGTATATTCGCATAAATTGTACATGTAATTACACATTGTAAAATCATCGAAGTCACTGTTTCATATTCAAACGTGTCTTGTATGTTTATCACAAATTATACACATGATATATACAATCTAATGTATATACTTACATCAGTGGTGTTGATATTTCTAGGGACATTAAAATGTCCATAGACTCCTGTCCATAACACGAACGCTAGGTATCGCCATTCCAACATGCTGTGTTGATAAGACGAGGATCAATGATAACATAACTGGCCTAAATGTTCCGTTTAATATTATATCGATTCCTTCTCCTACCTGCATATGTGCATTTTACACAACAATGTGATATTGAAATACTGATGCATTGTTGAGCTAGTCGTGAGGTAGATCAATTATAACTCGCCATGACATTGCTTAAATGTACTGACGGACTGTTCACTGGGATATCGATCTGTAGCATTGAGGTTTCAATTTTATTTTATTGAAATATGTTTAAATATACATTTATTATCACTGATCGCATTTTTGAGATGGTTAGTTGTACTAGGGGCAGGAAATACAGTACACAGTTACGTCCCTTAGATGTGCCATGATAAAGTGAGTTCGGGAGAGGATAGACGCCAGATTCGTCCTGATCAGCACCGGTTTACTCCTTTAAGAACTACATCCAATTTGAACTGCATCCCAAATTAACTACGGGAAATAATTCGAGATTAATTATCTGAATAGAGGCACCCCCATGGCATAGGACTACTTATGCCTACAGGGAAAGACAGCTACAGGGAACAATAGCTACAGGGAACAATAGCTGCAGGGAACAACAGCTACAGGGAACAATAGCTACAGGGAACAATAGCTACAGGGAACAATAGCTACAGGGAACAACAGCTACAGGGAGTAATAGCTACAGGGAACAATAGCTACAGGGAACAACAGCTACAGGGAATAATAGCTACAGGGAACAACAGCTACAGGGAATAATAGCTACACGGAACAATAGCTACAGGGAACAACAGCAACAGGGAATAATAGCTACAGGGAACAATAGCTACAGGGAAAAACAGCTACAGGGAATAATAGCTACAGGGAACAACAGCTACAGGGAACAACAGCTACATGGAACAATAGCTACAGGGAACAACAGCTACAGGGAACAATAGCTACAGGGAACAATAGCTACAGGGAACAACAGCTACAGGGAATAATAGCTACAGGGAATAATAGCTACAGGGAACAACAGCTACAGGGAACAATAGCTACATGGAAGAATAGCTACAGGGAACAATAGCTACAGGGAACAATAGCTACAGGGAATAATAGCTACAGGGAACAATAGCTACAGGGAACAATAGCTACAGGGAACAACAGCTACAGGGAACAACAGCTACAGGGAGTAATAGCTACAGGGAATCATAGCTACAGGGAACAATAGCTACAGGGAATAATAGCTACAGGGAACAATAGCTACAGGGAACAATAGCTACAGGGAACAATAGCTACAGGGAACAACAGCTACAGGGAACAATAGCTACAGGGAATAATAGCTACAGGGAACAACAGCTACAGGGAACAATAGCTACAGGGAATAATAGCTACAGGGAACAATAGCTACAGGGAACAATAGCTACAGGGAACAACAGCTACAGGGAATAATAGCTACAGGGAACAATAGCTACAGGGAACAACAGCTACAGGGAATAATAGCTACAGGGAACAACAGCTACAGGGAATAATAGCTACAGGGAACAATAGCTACAGGGAATAATAGCTACAGGGAACAATAGCTACAGGGAACAATAGCTACAGGGAACAACAGCTACAGGTAACAACAGCTACAGGGAATAATAGCTACAGGGAACAACAGCTACAGGGAACAATAGCTACAGGGAACAATAGCTACAGGGAATAATAGCTAGAGGGAAAAACAGCTACAGGGAACAATAGCTACAGGGAACAATAGCTACAGGGAAAAACAGCTTCAGGGAACAACAACTATAGGGAACAATAGCTACAGGGAACAACAGCTACAGGGAGCAATAGCTACAGGGAGCAATAGCTACAGGGAACAATAGCTACAGGGATCAATAGCTACAGGGAACAATAGCTACAAGGAATAATAGCTACAGGGAATAATAGCTACAGGGAACAATAGCTACAAGGAACAATAGCTACAGGGTACAATAGCTACAGGGAACAATAGCTACAGGGAACAATAGCTCAGGGAACAATAGCTACAGGGGAACAATAGCTACAGGGAACAACGGCTACAGGGAACAATGGCTACAGGGAACAATAGCTACAGGGAACAACAGCTACAGGGAACAACAGCTACAGGGAACAATAGCTACAGGGAATAATAGCTACAGGGATCAACAACTACAGGGAACAATAGCTACAGGAAACAACAGCTACAGGGAACAATAGCTACAGGGAACAATAGCTACAGGGAACAATAGCTACAGGGAACAATAGCTACAGGGAATAATAGCTACAGGGAACAATAGCTACAAAGTTTGTAGTGACAGTGATACGCTTACCTGCACACTGGTGAAATATTCCAATTAGTGTGCATTAATGCCTACAATGGGATTAGGAGAGTAAAGGGTAATTGTCCAGTTATGTTTTGAAAACATACATGCATTTAATTTTAGAAGAACCTTCTCACACGGTCGGCAGACTAAAGAGTAGAATGAGGGAGATTATTCAACGTGAAAAGGAAATGTATTGCTTTAAAATGCTTGTAACCAAACTTTTGGTGGCGAATCGGCAAATCCAAAGAAAGTTGAATCACAGAAGGGAGGACCGGAGATTATCTTTGACGGATACCGATATCGACTCAACAATAGACGACAGACCTGCGTGCACTGGAAGTGTGTCCAAAGCGGCTGCCTCGGCAAGTGTACTACTGTCGGGCAGTTTGTTCGGAATCAGTCGCCACACAACCACCAGGTAGCTCTGGAGATTGCTCGTTCTCTGCGGTAGCGGGTAAAGTCATCCATGGACTAGTTGGAGGAAAGATGACCCAGCTGGTCTTCTGTCTACTGCCAAATCGTCAACGCCGCACCTATGAACGTCTACTACGTCTCCTGAACGACAAGGTGCAGCAGAAAACAGGATGCTACTTCCACTACAACAGACTCTCTGGAGGAAGGTTCAGAACCTCGGCTTCAGTGGTCAAATTTATACCGACATGGCTGGGCTTAGGAAAGTTGATTTTGTCCTTAGTCAGAAGGGTAAACCTCAGGTGCTTCTTGACGGTTTCCGTTACCAGAAGAATGTCACAAGAGGCGAATCAGCCCATCCAGTACCTCGATGCAGTTGGCTACTTATTGAAGCTGGGTTAAACTAGTTCTACATGGATCAGATTGAACACTGAGGATGAAAGTGACACTAAATTATCACACTAAATATATAAGCCTATCTATAGGTGAACTATCTATACATCTATATCTATATAATTGTGTATTTGCTTATATCGAACTATGTTTACATATCGCAGTAGTTTCAGTTTTAAAAAGTTTAAAAGCTCCATTGATAGTAAATAGGCTGAATGGTATACGGAGAGAAAACAGTTTCCATCTAGGCAATAGTGTGATTCCAATGTCAAAGTCTTTCAATAATAAAGGTTCGATGAATTATTAGTGCATATGGTGAAGCAGTTTCTAAGAAATGAATTGTCATATTATCCCAACATCAGCAGCCATGGTGACTGACAGAAACCTATTATCGTTATTGTCCATGTATTGATGTAGGCAGATTCAGCATATCAATGAACGATCGATACTTTATATCTACCTAACGACACGATAAAATATCTCTTGCCTAACAATATCTCTTTTTGTTGACCTTGGAAGTTTGACAGGGACGATAAAGGTTTTGTTACATGGTCATGTGCATTTATTTAGAATAATAGTTGATGGATGAGTTTGGTTTTACGCCGCTTTTAGCAATATTCCAGTAACCCAGGGGCACAAGAAATGGGCTTCACACATTGTACCCAAGCAGGGAATCGAACCCGGGTCTTCGGAGTGACGAACGACCGCGTTAACCACTAGGCTATGCCACCGCTCCTGTGAGTATATCAAATTACCGAACGTTTATGTAGGTCCTGCTTATATGCAGCTGTGAACGCACTCTTGGTATATAACTGAGTTATATGACATCAAACATCAATACAAATGTACCATATATCCCACATAAATAACTGTCACAGGATATGAGCTGAAGCATTCATAAGCATCGTCGACTAACGGGCTATTGATCCCACACTTATACCATGTATATATATATACATGTGTACTAACTGCAGCCCAGTCACTGAATGTACATCGAGGAGAAACTACAGCAGAAACATAGTTAACAACACAGCGACAATTACCAAGATGGAGACGAAGGTCACCCTCAACAAGGACTGCTGTGACGACCTTGGAAGGTTCCACCTTTCAGTCTGTGGCGACCACGGCGTCGGTAAGCGCACCCTTATTTCCAGATTACAGGAACTCTGGAAGGAGACGGTAGACACTGTGTCCTTGAAGACGACCTATGACGCTTATGGCATCGCAGATATGGAGCTGGATATAACCAGACGGGACACCTCAAGTGTAGCGTCTCTGGGAAGAGTTCCTTTAAGTGATGCCTATCTCCTTGTCTATTCCCTGACGGATGCTGCCTCCTTCTATTCCGTGGTTGCCGAGCGGAACAGTCTCCTTGACCAGCATGGGGAAACTGTTCCTATTGTGTTCGTGGCCAACAAGGTGGACATCGCTGGACCTACCGAGCGGGTGGACAGTGTGACCAGGGACCTGAGTATCACGTGCCTCTGGGAGCATGGGTATGTGGAGGTTTCAGCTGAGGATGACGATTACGTTTATAAAGTGATTGAGCAAATTGTGAAGCACTATACCAGAGTAGGTCGGGAAATACGTAAATGCGCTAGCAACGCTTGAGGTGGCGCGAAGGGTTTCTGGTGTCACGTCAGTTCTTGTCAGGATTTTTCCTTTTCTCCGAGACGTGTCCATTTTGTTTCCTTTAATTTGACGCATCTTGGACTTCTTTGGTCTTTCTGTGGACACGCGGTGTCATAGTGTGTTTGAATTTTTCAGGAGAAAATTGCTACTATTTAGTGTTCTACTACCAAACTGACAGAATGTGTTTGTTCTTCAAATGATCCCCTGGTTACAGCAAGGCTTGGTGTTCTATTTGATCAAATTTGTTCCACGGAGAAAATTGCTTCTCTTGGACAGACCGACAGGACACGTTTGTTCCTCATACGAATACCTGGTGTCTTTGGCGTGTGTTAAATTATGACTTCACGAAGCGTCTTCCTTTCAGCTGCCTTCACTTGGACACAACTGACAGATTAATAATGTTCTATCTATGGACACCGGGTGTCAACCTGCCCTAGTATCACGTGTCTTCCAAATAGTTGCCTTCACTTGGATAGAACTGGCAGATTAATAATGTTCCCCTCTATGGACACCGAGTGTCGACATGTCCTAATGTATCATGTGTCTTCCACATCGTTGCCTTTACTTGGACAGAACTGACAGATTAATAATGTTCTCTCTATGGACACCGGGTGTCTCCCTGTCCTAGCGTATCATGTATCATATCGTTGCCTTTTCCAGGACAGAACTGGCAGATTAATAATGTTCTATCTATGGACACCGGGTGTCAACATACCCTACTGTATCGTATGTCTTCCATCATGGTCTAGGGCAGTGGGGTAGCCTAGTGGTTAAAGCGTTGGCTCGTCACGCCGAAGACCCGGGTTCGAATCACCACATGGGTACAATGTGGGAAGCCCATTTCTGGTGTCCCCCGCCGTGATGTTGCTGGAATATTGCTAAAAGCGGCGTAAAACCAAACTCAGTCAGTCAGTCAGTCAGTCCATCACGGTCTAGTGTATGATTGTGACTTCCATCGTTGTCTATACCAGGACAGAACTTGGTGTATGGTAGGGCGATACAGCTCTAATCGAACCACCTGCTGCAATCACTCACATGAAACAGTCATCATGGAGTGTACGTTTATCTCCTTTTAGACTGACTGTGGATTACTGTGTATCTGCAGAAATGTCACCACGGACATTTGATAATATCTGAACACCTTGTGTGTTTCTGTTTGAGATTCTACAGGAACACGTCAATATGTACAACGTTCGGATATTTTCAACTTTTCTACTGCAGCGATCTCAAAGGTACATGGGGCTCTTACCGCCCACAATTTAATCATTGAGAGCTTCTATGCATGTTGAAATTTAATTTCATGATTTAATAATGTACCTAGTTCAAATAGTTGATTAAAGAATTCAATTACACGACCTTGCAGCTGCGCCATCAGTAGAAGCAATTTGAAAAACCACTTACTAGCTGAACATATTGCAAAACAGAAGCATGGAATCTGTTCATCTGTATTATGGGTACAATGTGGGAAGCCCATTTCTGGTGTCCCCCGCCGTGATATTGCTGGAATATTGTTAAAAGCGGCATAAAACTGAACTCACTCACTCACTCATCTGTATTAATAATAGTTGGTGCATACATAAGTACCTTTCATAAAATTCATAATGTGTATTCGGCAGTTCGCTGAGCAAATGTATCAGCGCTTGTGTATTTAATTAATTTCTACCTATCCAGTTTCATTGATGTTCTCATAACAACTAGGCGATCAAATGTAACCTTCAAATGTAAGGTTGTAGGACAACACAGGCGCAATATGATAATTGGCATATCATGTGACCGTATATTATGCAAATCGCGGGTGCCAATTAGATCAGGACATAAATACCCTTGAAAACTTGGTGTCATCCCTCATTTTCTTTAATCTATTCATATTATATCTTCACCACTGATGATTTGCCTGAGTGAGTGGGTGAGTGGGTGAGTGAGTGAGTGAGTGAGTGAGTGAGTGAGTGAGTGAGTGAGTGAGTGAGTGAGTGAGTGAGTGAGTGAGTGAGTGAGTGAGTGAGTGAGTGAGTGAGTGAGTGAGTGAGTGAGTGAGTGAGTGAGTGAGTGAGTGAGTGAGTGAGTGAGTGAGTGAGTGAGTGAGTGAGTGAGTGGGACACCAGAAATGGGCTTCACATATTGTACCCATGTGGGGAATCGAACCTGGGCCTTCGACGTGACGAGCCAACGCTTTAACCACTTGGCTATCCCCATACACTGTTGCATGATAATACAGATATTCTTCCACTACAAGAGCAGGCTGCAACGCAAAATGGTTTTACTGTATTTCGCAAATTAACCAAATAACAATTCTAGGATCATATATAATTGATGATCTTTATAATCCATTTAATGAATGTAAATCATAGCAATGTCTTTTATTCTGTAAATGTCTTATCATTTGCCATAAACGAACCATAGGGGTTAATGGATGACCACTTTCTTAGTTTATTACTTAGATGTAGATGGAGAATCTGACAACTTTATCAAGCAGAAAGTGATGAGAGTGAGTGAGTGAGTGAGTGAGTTTGATTTTACGCCGCTTTTAGCAATATTCCAGCAATATCACTGCGGGGAACACCAGAAATGGGCTTCAAGCATTGTACCCATGTGTGAAATCGAACCAGGGTCTTCGGCGTGACGAGTCAACGCTTTAACCACTAGTCTACCTCACCGCTCCGCCAGGTGATGAGAAGTATATTAACACACGGTATGTAGTGACGGACAACAGATTAACAATACCAACAGTGAACATGGTTTTACGCCACTTTTAGCAATATTCCAGCAATATCACGGAGGGGGACACCAGATAGAGGCTTCACATGTTGTACCCATGTGAGGAATCGAACCCGGGTGTTCGGCATGGCGAGCGAACGTTTTAACCACTAACCTACCCCACCGCCCTGATTATCCATAAAGTCGTATGTTTTGTTATTTACTCACGAACTTCCAGACTGCCGAGTAAACAATTACTTTGTCATGAATAAACAGCTCAGTACTATTATACATATTATTTAATTCATAGCTAACTTGTGCATGCAGTGATCAGTTGCGAATGCATACCACTTATATGCAACTTGTGTAGGTCACAGAACACGAGCAGGCAATTTATGCTAATGTCACGCATCTTGCTGAGCTGGTATATTTCAGGTTTAACATAAGATTGTTTCACGGGATGTGTGAGCGCGGCTTTGTGCGAGCTGAGTCAGGCTTAACGTTGCTGTAAATAGTTGTATTATGCGCTGACTTGGTACATGTCAACGCATCGCAATTGCGCAGATCGATGCTCATGCTGTTGATCACTGGATTGTCAGGTCCATGCTCTATTAATTTCAGACCGCCGCCATATAGCTGTAATATTGCTGAGTGTGGCGTAAAACTAAATTCAATCAATCAATGTTTGTATTATGACTGTGTCTGCTTTGTGTGGGAGGGAAGCCCGGAGTCATGCACGTCTGTGGTGCTGACACACTGAATCATGGTCTGAGAGAACCGGAATTCGAACCACGTATCCTTCGTTTCATGGTCGCCTCATGGACGCAGCTTTGTACTCTCGGGCGATTTGGAGTGAGTAAGTGAGTCGGTTAGTGAGTGTGTGAGTAAGTTTGATTTTACGCCGCTTTTAGCAATATTCCAGCAATATCACGGCGGGGGACACCAGAAATGGGCTTCACACATTGTTCCCATGTGGGGAAGTGAACCCGAGTCTTCGGCGTGACGAGCGAACGCTTTAACCACTAGGCTACCCCACCACCCCGAGTCGGTTAGTGAGTAGGAGTATGACATGACTCAGGCATACGATGAAGCGAGAGTTCCATCACGCAAGAGTTTGAATTCCAAGCAGTCTACGACACCACAATTCACTCTGCAGAGTTGTGGGCCTTGATTGTGCAAGGATCCCTGACCACGGGATCAATCCACAGATCCGTTCTGGTTGTCGTTGATATGACACAAGCCCATGCATGTGGGTTAAATAAATGTACTTTCGGGGTCCCCTCCCACAATTTGCAGACAAACCGTGCTGAAACACCTCAATTGAAAACGGCGTTGATTCAGCCAACACAGTCGACGTATTCACAATTCGCAAAGGCATAGTACAACATATCGGAATATGACCGTAACACCTGCGAAGGCTGCGCGGATGTTGAATAGTGTACAAATGTCCTATATTATAATTCACACCCAGCACATTCTTGTTAATGTTGAACTCCTATTGATCATTCGATATTCAGCTCATGTGTTCCCAATAGCTACATTACAGTCATGGCGATATTAAATTCTCCTTAATAGATTTTTATATTAACGGATATCAATGCCCATTGATGCCCGGTACGGATTGTATAAACAATGACATCGATTCAACTAACACCATTTTCGTCGTTAATGGCACGCTACTTTTTTGTATTGAATGTATAACAATATACATAAACATACGATTCCATTTCATATATTGCCATGTCGTTCAGATATCAGGCAGTATTTGGTTCAGTCTGTTTCCCTGAAGATGCCTCATAAAAAACCCGTCGCACTGTGCATTTTTGGTGTACGATAAAAAGCGGAGAAATGCAATGTTTTTAAGGCATACAAAATTCGGACAACATTTAACAGTGTGTACTTTTCAAACCGCCCAAGTATTTGCACTTGAATTAACAACATCAGAAAAATAAATTCTACATTTATGTGTAATTTTCTAGGCGTAGGTTGATACAGTGCGGCGCAAACACAATTCTCGTCACTTTTCAGACTTTCTGAAAATGTGCGCCATAACTCGGCATCCAAGGGTTCACATTGCGTTCTCATGACGTGACCAAATCACATTATACTACGGTTGTAACGAACTCAAATTCATAACTAATTTTAGTTCGTAATAAGAGTACTTGATTACACAATGCAATTTAGAAAGTGGTCAAATGAAACATATGTTATATTTGGGATTACACTTTCTTAGTAAAGTACAGATTCTAGTACTTTGTTTGGGTTGAGTCTCATCCGGGATTCGAACCCACACCCTCAAAGTCAGACACCTAATCGCCAGCACTACTTGGTAGTAGACCATTGGATTTTCTTGGGTCAAATTGTGTGACTGTTTCAAAGGGCAGGTAAACGACAACACCCACACTTGCCGAGAACAAACTCAATTTATATCAGGTATCAATAACAATGTACAAGTGTCAGTGTTAATTTGACGCTCGCCGCAGTCTAGATCAATAATAACGTAATCTATACTTGTGTTTCATCATCATCAGTTGTATGCTCCCCAGGGAGCTGAGATTGATAATAAGATGTGCCGTTAAGATTGATATCCCGTGATCGAGGGAAAAAATACCAGCGCCTTGAGCATGCCCTAGTGCGTGGATATGTGCGCTATATAATTATCCAATAATAATTATAATAAAATAATAATCATTATCATCATCATCATTACCACCAACACCATCATCGTCGTCATTTCTATCAGCCATACCAATACCACAACGATCATAATTACTACGACCACCACCATCATCAGCATTACCACAGCACCAGCCAATATTGCTAAAAGCGGCGTAAAACCACTCACTCACTCTCTCATCGTCATCATCGTCGTCATCTCTATCATCATCACCGATAGTTACCAGCATTACAGCAACTGTGAACATTACCACGTGTGTCACTGTTGACTCCAGCATCAATCTCACACATCAAACTGACGCACAATGAGAAATAGACTTCCTGCAATTAATGTAAACTATAACACGATCCTCCATGTAATCACAGATGATCAACTTTTGATCAACCAAACAGAAGGACAGGACACCAAACCGGCAAACTAATCATTATGAACAACTGGATCAAATCCCATCGTCGTCGAAAATAGAAATGTGATTACACGGTATGTTTCTTGTCTCGTGGGTTATCTTTCATATCATCTTGTACGTCCACTGAGTGAATACGTGAAGTGGCCCTCAGTATTGGACACAATCAAGATTCAGGTTGAAGAAGTTTGATGCACATGCCAATCGCAGTGAGGTGAGGTGAAATTGGGTTTTACGTCGTGCTTGAGAATATTTCGCTCATATGACGACGTGCCAATCGCAGTGACATTAGACCTGACATTGTGAGGTAATATTAACTGCAGTGTCTTCATCTCATCGTGATTGCAGCAGCGTCAAAGTCAGCGATGAAGAAGCAGCGTCAACGATGAAGCCGGTCATCGTCAACGATGAAGCAGCAGCGCCAAAGTCAATCTTGAAGCAGCAACGTCAATGATGAAGCACTTCAACGTCAACGATGAAGCAGGCCAACGTCAACGATGAAGGGGCAGCGTCGAAGTCAACGTTGAAGGAGTAGCGTCAAAGTCAACGATGAAGCAGCAGCGTCAAAGTCAACGTTGATGCAGCGTCAACGTCAACGATAATGTTAATGTTACAGCATCTGACCACGGCAACGTCAACGTTGAAGCAGCAGGGTCAAAGTCAACGTTAAGCAGCGTCAACGATGACGTTAATGTTACAGCATCTGGCAACGGAAACGTTGGAGTAAGCAGCAGCAGCACCGTTATTTTTACAACATCAACAGCGACGACGCCAGTATCAACGTCTATAGTTATGTCAGCATCCTCGAGACTGAACTGTCATTTCACAGTTGACAAGGTATAGTTGATCCCCTGTATTTTGCCCTTTGGAAGATCATATTAAAAAGGCCATAATGTATTTTCAGTCTGACAGAAAGGTTTAGTTTCGTTTAAGTTTCTAAGTTTCCAAAGTCTAATTTTTATGTGTGGATGTTGTGAATGTTGGATCGAAGGAACCAATAGTAATGTTGTATACTCCCCAGGGTGTTGAGATTGATAATATGATGTGCCATTGAGATTGACATCCAATGATCGAGGGGAAAAAATATCAGCGCCTTGAGCAAGGACTAGTTGCCTGGATATGTGCGCTATATAAGTATCCTATAATAATAATAATAATAATAATAATAATAATAATAATAATAATAATGATAATGATAATGTGAACTGATTATAATTTGTATTCATATTAACTTATACCAATACAAACAATAACTATCGGTTTGTACGCATTGATTATACTACAAGAACGAAACTGTTGACATTTGTATACATTTGTTTCCATGTTATGTGTTAGATGTGCTGAATATAAAATACATACCACAAATGATTATGTTTATCCGACGATTATGTCCGTCCTTTAATAAAATACTGTCATGCAACTCTTGCTCCAAATATGTGAGTGTGTTACGCCGCTCTCTGCAATATTCAAGCAATATCAGAGGGACATCAGAATAGGCTTCACACATTGTACCCATGTTGGGAATCGAACCCTGGTCTTCGCGCGTGACGAACGAACGTTTTGCCCATTAGGCTACCCTGCCGCCCCCAAATATGTTTGGACATCCAAGCCACAGTAAATCTTTCACAAGGTTTTAAGGAAGACATGTAGAAAACAATGCATATGCTCACCTCTATTTTAACATGTGCCTTCGCATGTGTTTGTAACAGGAGTCACTGGTGGGAGAGGATACTCTCACCTTTTCGCAAGAAGAACCGGTGTTATCCCTATTTGATGGTGATTCATAGACGCTCTCGATATTGCCGGATTCGTACAACCGACTCTATTCGACTCTGCGTCCAAAGAGAATTCCTTTGAATACGGAAAGGCTTTTCCTGTAACTGTAACTGCAGGTATCTATCTACCTGTGTGTTCGGGGTTTCCTGGTACATTGTAGGCGAGTGATCAAATTCTGTTTGACGAAAGTAACACATAACTTAACGATGTTTCGTGAACTATTTGACAAATTTCGTGGAAACACTGGAAACTCTACAAAGTATGAATACCTCCAGCTGTACCATCCCTGAACGCATCTGTGGCAACGACTTGATCACCCTCACCATCATCGGCGCTGTGATCAGTACTGTTTGCGTCTTCGGCAACGGTATTATCCTTGCTGCTTTCATCAAATTCAAATCCTTACATAAGCCTTGCAACGTCCTCCTCACAAACCTGGCTTTGGGCGACTCCTCTACGGCTTCGGCGGGTTTCCTATCTACATCATCCCCGACTTCCTGCCTCATCTGTTTTGTTACAAAACGTTTGTATTCGCAAGGGTATTTATTTTGCATCTGGTCTTCACTCTGTCCCTTAACAATATCTTTGTCGTAACATGTGAACGATTCCTCTGTATAGAGTATCCTTTTTTCTATGAATGCCACGTAACGGCAACCACAGCCCAAATTTCGGCAGTGCTGAGCTGGATCTTTGGAGTCTTTCGCAGCCTTGTCTGTTGCACGTTGTATTTTAATCACAAACAACTGGCCGTAAGCATAGAAATTGTTGTCCTGGCCATTTTGTTGTCTATCACCTGCACTGTTTACTGTCGTGTTTATGTTGTGAGCAGGCGTCACCTCACGCGTGACTTAAAATTTGGGATCAGGAACTAGGGGTGGGTATTGCAGAGAATTTTCATATTGCGATGCGAAAGCATATATTGCGATATGTATTGCAATATATTGCATAAACTATTTTTAAACAAAAAACTACTTACAATCAAGTTAATTCTTGATTTATAGAGCAAAAACACAACAAAATCACTAGGCTTGATTAAGCTTTAATAACAACTTTTAATCATGATAAAATAAAAATGTGAATAATATTTGGCACAAATGAAACAAGGACATATCCGAAGATTTCCGAGTGTTACGAAGTTTTCCGAATGCATGTCAAAATACCGGTTTTCGATCAGCGTATCGCAATACGTATCGTTTTCATGTCTGAACCGGTAAATACCGGTAAACCGGTTATATTGCGCAGCCCTATCAGGAACCAGGAAGGCAGAGCTCAGGTGGCAGTCATGATCGGGTTAGTAAACGTGGCGTCATGGGCACCAGTCATCGTGGTCCTTCTTCTGGATACGGTGGTAATTGACGTGGGTGCCAGGGTGCAGGCTACGTGGCTTTGTCCCTTCGCGGGCACCTGTCTGAATCTCATCATTTTCACATACAGGATGAGGGATTATCGCCAGGCTGTGAAAGCTTTGCTGGGCAGAAGAAACATAGTTTCACCAACTGTCCACACTATAGAACTGTCTGTACATTCACCCTTACCTTAGTGATGGTGAGGGGCGGTGGGGTAGCCTAATGGTTAAAGCGTTGGCTCGTCACGCCGAAGACCCGGGTTCGAATCCCCACATGGGTACAATACGTGAAGCCCATTTCTGGTGTCCCCCGCCGTGGTGTTGCTGGAATATTGCTAAAAGCGGCGTAAAACCAAACTCACTCACTCACTCACTAGTGATGGTGAAGAGTGAATGAGTGAGTATGGTTTTACGCCGCTTTTAGCAATATTCCAGCAATATCACGGCAGGGGACACCAGAAATGTGGGGAATCGAACATTGACCTTTGGCGTGACGAGCGAACGCTTTAACCACTAGGCTACCCCACCGCCTCTTGTGATCGTGAAGAAGTAAAAGGACTTGGTCTTAAAGAAGCTTCTACAAAGAAGTAACATATTTCGGTAAACCGTCAATAAACGAAATTACCCAGTTCATGTGATATATCAGCATTTCGTGATCACTTTTATGTGTTCGTTATGCTTTGAAGTAGAAACGACTGAAAGTGTATTCGTAACTCAATAATATGTTGACTTGAGTGGAATTTAGAGTTACCGCCCCTGATTGTAAATACACGATGGTATTCATCATTCGTGAAATTTCAGAGGCAGTCATGATTCTCAAATCCCTTAGGCAATGAGTATCCATCTCTTGCTGTGTGAACAGAGGTAGATTTGATCTGTGTCCGCACTTCACGTTGTGACCTCTGTGGTCTCTATCAAAGGTTCAGTGGAGAACGTTTTGTATACGAGGAATAGCTACAACACAGTGAAGACGTGCAGTACTGGTCCATAGGACGAATTACAATTAATTACATGAATGAAACCAATGAAACCGCTGCTGTGGATAAAGATTGATGTTATGAATAATCGTGTTGCCTCATGTTTCTGTTATGTACAGTTAATATTCACAAATGAAAGATATGACCGGGAGGTTGTTGTATTTTCCACACACACACACACACACACACACACACACACACACACACACATACATACATTTACATTTAATCAGACTTATGCTTAGGCTCTGATAATATATATAAGCTCGATAGTAACAGACGAGCCATTTAAATTGAAAAGGAGCCCCAGGGAGACGAGATCCTGAACCTGGGGAAATCTAGACTTGCTTTATTTAGGGCTTTAGCACTGCAGGGAGGGCTAGACTATAGGGAAGATAATGAAGTGCAGGGACTGTGATACAGACTAGCATTTAATCAGCATATATACTACTCACACTTTGTTAAGGATCACAAAAATTCATAACCTTACTTAAACGTACATTCATAACTTGAAATTGTATCCATTTAAAACTGGATAAATAATAACATGGTAACCCCTCTTTAGGCAAACAGTCACTATAATCTAACCTTATGCACTTGATACATGAGTAGCCATAAAAATGGTTTTCATGGCACCAATCAACCATTTTGCAAATCATTGAACATGTCATTGACAAGTACACAACACCTGTCAATAGCAGGTATGGGATCCACAAGATGAAATGACACACCGAAACCTAGAATCCATGCTTACAATAAGCTTAGATATTTAAATCCAATTTAACCCCACATAATAGTTTTCTGTTGAATCCATGATTTGATCCTTAGCAAAGTGTGAGTAGTATATTTACAGAGCAAGGAGTCTGAAGTGTATACTTCAGTATCGCTGGTTGGTTTGCTGCTTGTAACACTATGCAATATTCGGTCTGGACCAGACAATCCAGTGATCAACAACATGTGCATTGATCTACGCAATTGGGATACGATGACATGTGTCAACCACGTCAGCGAGCCTGACCGCTCGATCCTGCTAGTCGCCTCTTACGACAAGCATGGGTTGCTGCGGACCAATTCTAACCCGGATCTTCACGGGATCCCCAAGACTGGGCGTCAGAGACAACAATTACACAAATAATGAATTATAAATATAAAAATTTATTAATCAAACATACGTAAAATTAACGAATTAATTAACATGTTTTGAACTGTAATGAACACCGACAGTATATTATTATACACGTTATGACGTTAGAACACCACATGTATCCGAGGCGTGGTGGTCGGGTCCTACATATTCTAGATATGTTAGTTGTATAAGTAATGCAAGAATTGTGGATGTCAAATTCTTTATTGTGAATAACACAATTCGGAGTGTATGCTTGCTCCTGCATCGGGTGAAGCACACCATGGGTGGAAATAACCCATTGCCCGACGCCCGAGTCCAGTGTTTTTTCTGTCGGGCAAGCATATTTGTCTATCACACTGTACCGGTGTCCAGTTGACTTTCCAATGTTAATTATGTTGTTTATTTAAAAAATCAACAAGAAAATCGGCCAGTATAGTGGAAAAATCATCAGGGCAAGTGATTTTACTTGTGCCACTGTACCGGAGTACACTAGCAACGTTAAAGTTATTTCCAGCCCTGCATACACTCCGAAACGTAGTGTTGTTCACGACAAAGAGGTTTACATGGATACGTCTTGCTTTTCTTATGCATTCCACTTCTCAATGCCCTTCAAAGATTTGATGTTAGTTGTAGTTATATGATATGTTGTACATCGCCCGCGGTTTTCAAGAGTGTTTCATGCGCTGAAATAAAGCTCCTTGAGATTAGTACACTGTGCGACATAGCCACTGGCCTACTAGCCGTGGCTAGTAAAATTCCAGTCGGGCCGGTAAATCTCCACAATCACTGGCCCGACTGACCAGTGAATTTTCATGGGGTCATTTGATTTTTATGGTATTTGTTTAGTTTCTACATTCAAATGTCGGGTTAGTGATTTTTTGTGGGCTAGTGTCCTTCAGGCACAGCTAGCCAGACTGGCAAGCAAAATTTGGAAACTATTTCGCACACTGTTAGTATAACGTCACCTTGATCTGCATAGTGCCCGTATGTAGGTCACGGCACCTCGCGAGACCATAGTACTTCCGGTGACAAAGAACGATACTAGAGATGTGCCAGAATGAAATCAATGCCACGTACATATATATAAAAATCGGGTTATCTTTTCCGATCCGTAGTATACAGGCATTATACTACTATATTTACTACCAGTAGTTTGTCTGTCTATACAATATCACTGCAATCAGTACTCTCCGGATTAACGTGTTTCACTGCGCTAAGACAGGTCGCAAAGTACATACATACGTCATCGTAGCCAATAATCACGTAACAGAAAGCCATTGCAGAGGAAATTTGAGACAGACTTACGACAGTCGTAGCGTTACATTGTGGAACGGGGTGCCGCATATCTTATAACCCTCCTAAATATACACCGGAGACATGATCGTGTACTACACGTCGCGTAGACGTCCTCACCAAGACGATCTGAACTCCTATACTTCAGCACAGATTTGCGAGTTACCTTATAAGATCTTAACTCCCATGCTTTAACACAGGCTTATGGACTATCCCAGACGATTTTCTCTCCAACGCTTGAGCTGAGGTTTACGAAGTAGCCTATACGATCTAAACTCATAAACCGAAGCACAGACTTGTGAGATGGCCAAGACGATCTCTTTCCCTTCTTAAGCGCACTGTTACGAACTAGCCAGCCGATCTTATCTACCATACTTAAGCACAGGCTTACGAACTAGCCTTGTTGATCTTATGTCCCATACGTACGTACAGCCTTTCGAAAAGCCTGACTGATCTCATCTCCCATACTTAAGTACAGTCTTACGTACTAGCCTAATTGATCTTATCTACCATACTTAAGCATAGGCTTACGACCTAGCCTTGCCGATCTTATCTCCCATACTTACGTACAGCCTTTCGAACTTGCCTAACTGATCTTATCTCCCGTAATTAAGCACAGGTTTACGAACTAGCCTTGTTGATCTTATCTCCCATATGTACGTACAGCCTTTCGAAAAGCCTGACTGATCTTATCTCCCGTACTTAAGCACAGGCTTACGTACAAGCCTTGTTGATCTTATCTCCCATACGTACGTACAGCCTTTCGAAAAGCCTGACTGGTCTTATCTCCCATACTTAACTACAGTCGTACATACTAGCCTAACTGATCTTATCTCCCGTACTTAAGCACAGGCTTACGAACTAGCCTTGTTGATCTTATGTCCCATACGTACGTACAGCCTTTCGAAAAGCCTGACTGATCTTATCTCCCAAACTTAAACACAGGCTTACGTACTAGCCTAACTAATCTTATCTACCATACTTGAGCATAGGCTTACGACCTAGCCTTGCCGATGTTATCTCCCGTACTTAAGCACGGGTTTACGAACTAGCCTTACTGATCATATCTCCCATACGTACGTACAGCTTTTCGAACCAGTCTAGCTGATCTTATCTCCCACACTTAAGCACAGGCTTACGTGGTGTAAGAGCGCTGTATACTGTAACCGCAACATCCAAGACATACGTAACATAATTGCAGCTATAAATGGCTCTGGGAACCAGAGGCTTGATTCAATCAAAGGCCCCAAGACATAGTCCGTCTAAAATCACATATGTGTGATCGTAAGACTCATGTGTGATTGGAAGTTAACTGATCGCCATATATACAATATACTTAGTGATGTGGTTATTTTTGTTAAAGTATAGAAACTACCCTATTCTAGTGAGTGACATTCTCTTCCCACAGAGGTTACTAAAGTCATATCTTCCCACGAGTAACCTCTATGGGAAGAGAATGTATCACGGCGGCGGACACCAGAAATGGGCTTCACACATTGTACACATGTGGAGAATCGAACCCGGGTCTTCGGCGTGACGAGCGAACGCTTTAATCACTAGGCTACCCCACCACTCTACCATCTTCAGTAGTCTGTTTGCAGTGAAAACGTACCGATGAATTTCACTCTAAACAAAAAGGTAAATCGAATAAAGTGAAAATAAGATTGCGAATCCTTATAATTTTGCCAATTGAACATTCAAATCTCAGAATTTTATTCAACTTAGGATAAAAGTTGTTTAACAAACGATCATGGTTTCAAATCGCTATTATTGGTTTGCATTACAAGGGGGTATGCACTTTATATGAAACCCCGAGAACAAGTAGTGTTGGTTTAAGTTAACGCTCATCACGTTCCGCACGTGCATTTGTTTCACTGTTCCATCTACTGCGCTTACCCCATTGTAATACAAATCAATAATAACATTTTCAATCTATGATCGTTTGTTAAACAACTTTTATTCTAAGTTAAATAAAATTCTGAGACTTAAATTTCCAATTGGCAAGGTAAAATTATGAGGACTCGCAATCTTAATTTCACTTTATTTAGTTTAGTTTTTTGTTTAAAGTGAAATTCATCGGTACGTTTTCACTGCAAACAGACTATAGTACTAAGACCCCGTCAGTAACAGTATATACCTTGATGGCAGTTTTTAGCGTTACAAGCCCGTGGTGAAAATGTTGTTGTCAGCAACTTTTAATGATAGTTTCTCAAGTAAAATCTTTAATAGTTCACATAAAGTTTAGAAATTCAACACCCAAGTAGCTCGTCAGATATCACTTTTAACTGAGCGAATTAAAGTTGGATACCTTTCGTTGTTTAAACGTAATTGTCGATTGAAAGTAACACGTATAATTCTCCATATTAGTTATCCCAGTTCTGGTCGTATCCCAGTTCTGTTCGTAACAGTCGTGGGTTCGATCCCCGGGCGCATTATACCTGCCTGGCTCGGCATTAATGTTTAAAGTGAAATTCATCGGTACGTTTTCACTGCAAACAGACTATAAATGCTATTATTGCTGTAAATCTCTGTTAAGGTATATGAATGACCCTATTCTGAACGCTGATATTATTATAAAGCTCTGGTTAAGTATAGGGGTTACGTTTTCCTCAGCTCACATACATAATAATTACACGTATAAGAGTTGGATATAATTTCTAAGAGGATATTTTTTGACTGGTGGCTTGTCGAAAGAACCTACAGTCTTGAAGAACCTATGAGAACTGTGGTCCCAGTAGACTAAAACCCATCACAAAACTTGGCCAGATCAAAGTCATTACAGGTACCCATCCAGCGATCTGACCAAGCAGCACACTATCCCTCTTGTGCTCTTTTAATCGCCACTGTTTTCCTAAGCGGGAGATCCGCAGAAATGTGATGCTTAGGTCTTCCAGTCATTGATTCTCGCTCAACGGCTTTCTTTTCTATGCGCAACTCCAGCTCTAAGTCACTCCTTCTGCTTAGCGTCTTTCACCACGTCCAGAAACTGCTTGAAAAGCTCCATCTTCTCCCTATGCATCTTCTCAAGCCTATCCATTTTCAATCTGTCCTGCCGTTTACGATCTTCGTGGATCGACCGCAGCAACGACCCCAGCTCAACTGACTGAACACCCGAGCTCGGACTGGGCACTGTAGTTGATGTTTGTGCCGATGATGACGTTGACCCCGACGCGGCGGGCGTATTCAGATATTTTTTCTTCTTTGTTAAAGACGCTATGTCAGCATCGTTCAGACCTGGACTCTCTAACTGACGTTTGGGTTGAGTCTGAACCGCAGCTACTGTGGTGATTTGGGCGTAAGGGGAGGTAAGTATGTGGGAATGAGGCGACACGTAGGAATAAGCTTGTGAAAGTTCATCATAAAACGGACACGTGTGGGGAATCACGTTGTTATTCCTGGCATTAAAGTCTAATGTATCTCGATACCTTTTAGTAAGAGACTTCCACTTGTTTTCGACCTGGCTCCACGCGTATGTTACATTATCGACCTTCAACTTCCGTGCTATCATCTCCCATATGCTCTTCTTCTTGTAGTGGGGGTCATCAAACAGCTGCTGGTGCTCCTTGTGCAGCGAGATCAGTTTCGTCACAGCCTGTTTGGGCCAACTGATACCGCCTGTCTTAGACGCAGAATCGTCCTCCGTGGAGGAATTCGACTTCGGATCCGTTTCACAAATCGGTGTAACTTCGATCACATTGACCGTGCCATGACACTCGATGCTCGCCTGCTGCCCCTGCGCAAGGGCGGGGTCGGTCGTCTGCACGTGCTGCACGTTTGCCACAGTGACAGCGTTCCCGCCACTCAGGTACTGGGGCGGAATATTGTTCATGTTGGAGACAACTTGCAGCGGAACCACGTGACTCTGGTGGGCGTGGACACTGCTCATGCTGGTGACGGTGGAGGCGTCGGCGGCAAGGACGTTGACAACGATCTCGTTGCCCTGCTGGACGCCATTGGTGGAGACGATGTAGGAGGAGTCGAGACCGAGTTCCGTCTGACTCATCATCGGGATGGGACGTCTGAGACTGCAAGCAAACAAGACACCGTGAAACCCAGTTACAATTGATACAACCCGAATAACAGTGAGTGAATATGGTTTTACGCCGCGTTTAGCAATATTCCAGCAATATCACGGCGGGGGACACCAGGAATGGGCTTCACACATTGTACCCATGTGGGGAATCGAACCCGGATCTTCAGCGTAACGAGCGGACGCTTTAAACATCAGGCTACCTCACCGCCCCCCCAACAGTTTTACGAAACTTACATAAATCTTCCGTTTGTTTGTTGTTTAACGCCGCACTCAGCAATACTCCACCTGTGTGACAACACGTGTAAGTAAGCGAGTCTGGGCCAGACAGGCCAATGGATGACGGCATGAACATCGATCTACTCAACTGGGGTAAACTGACATGTATGAACAAGATCAGCGAGTACGAGAAGCATGGGTTACTGGAGATCAATTTTAACCCGGATCTTTCCTTGTCGCATTGTTATGAAATGTTATCTGAATAGATAACTTAATATGCAGACATTGTCGTCTGAAATCACGGATGAGTCGTAGTAGAAGTAGTAATAGTAGTAGTAGTAGTAGTAGTATAGTAGTAGTAGTAGCAGTAGTAGTTTAGTAGTAGTAGCAGTAGTAGTAGTAGTATAGTAGTAGTAGTAGTTTAGTAGTAGCAGTAGTAGTAGTAGCAGTAGTATAGTAGTAGTAGTAGTAGTAGTGGCAGTAATATAAGAAGAAAATGTCTGAAAAATATATCTGAGCAAATTAAAAGAAAGTTTAAATATGTCTAAATCCCTGTGAACAACAGGCAATGATATTCATTCATATTCATAACAGAGTACTAATTGGTCCTCTCTCTACATTTAGGGATGAAACTATCAACATGATCAAGAAATTGGTCTGCGGCAACCCCAATCCTGACCCATCCACACGGACCCGGCCACCCAGACCTCACCCTCCCAGACCTCACCCACCCAGACCTCACCCTCCTCCGTCAAACGCTGCATTCATGGGTATTACTTAGTCATTTCAATGCATAACAAATGTCTATTTGTTTATATATCTTATTTATGCATGTAATATTATTCATATATAGTTATTTATTTAGCATTATTATTTAGTTCATTTATACAATATGTGCATTGAAACATATTATGAGTCGGTTTAAAAAAATGTCAAGATTTGGTTCTCATGAAATGACAAAACGAAATGATTGAATCCGAACACCATCCATCTTGTCTGTCTCCCAGACACAAGGGAATATATTAAATAGGAGTCCTACCCATGTCTAAAATAGTCCACGGCTCCAGATATTCAATCATATCTATAATATACACAGGGTATTTATTCTGGAACTAAACGTTAATCGACCATCCACCATGTTGATAGACATAAGGAGGGACATAATTATTTCTTATATATTTCTCTAGCCTGTGTCAATAATGTTTGCCATGAAACACGTTTACTTACGATAAATGTCTGTACCTACAGTACGTACATATGGTTACAAATATGTATAAGTTAATATCATTCCATATAGTAACTGATAGTATGTCATACAGACCCTGAAACAAATACATTTGTATACCCAAGAAGGTGAGGTGAGGTGAAATTGGATTTAACGTCGTGCTTGAGAATATTTCGCTCATATGCTTGTACTAGCCCAGACTCATGCTGGTTTTATAGTGCTAGCCCACTGAGATACCATGCCGCAGTGAAGCAGGAATACCCCACTCAGACACATTACACTGACTCCGAGCCGACCAGTCCTTGTTGTACCCATTAATGCCGAGCGCCAGGCAGGGACCAACAAGTACCATATTTTAACGTCTTTTTGGTATGACGCGGTCGGGAATAAATATACAGAAGAAAGCCCATGCAAGTCTAGATTATGTGACAAGTCTGAAAATGAAGAAAGTCTCAGGCTCCTTTTTATTATATATATATTTTTTACCATGAACTGTTTTTTTCTGTAAAATATGTTCATTTCAGTTGTTAGTCAAAGTAATGTTGACATGTGGCATTTAAGTTTCGTTTCAGTGGATACCGAGTTCGAGTTCTGCTTCCATGTTTTCATTGTATTTATACGTCCGCGAAGCATGATGTCAGTATGCTCGTGAAACACTGAATGTCACAATCTGTAAATGAACCAAGTAGATATTTTCATAATTCTATTTAAGATGAGGGCTACCCTTACAGTGGTTAACATGAGCTGTTTCATTGCGCGGACCTAAGAGTAACATTGAGTCGAGAGAGGGACACGCATCCGCCATTTTGTTTAGCCGCATCGTTCTCAATCCAGTTTGTCTAGGGTGCCAACCTCACACAACAGACAACGGACGGTAACTGTCACCGAACGACGTGGCAAATATATATTTATACCTCTTATTAGATGTAGCTTGCTTTGAAATGCACTAACCCGTTCGCTTACCGTGAAAAACACTAGGAAAAGTGTGGTATTAACATTCCGGTTTCTCGAGCTGCGACCGCTCTGGAATGAGTTCAGCTTCGGTTGTACTTCACTGGACGTCTTGGGCTTTTTTGGTGTAGACTAAATCTATGGAAAACTTCATTTAACCAATACCAAGACCTTCTGTCATTTACGTGTTTGATTATTTAAATAAGCCGCATCAGCGGGGAGGGGACTGTGTTGCATTAAGTTGCGCTGTAGGACACCTGTAAACTAGTTGTTGTTGACTGACATATTTACAACAACAAATTCCACCAGGCTTTTATTTATTCAAGATGTAGTAGGACCATTCATAATCTGCTATGATAATCATTTTTATGGAGTAGCAAGTACAATGCGAATGCCCCCCAATATTTATGTACAAAGGAATGTGACCACCATCCCCCACCTTGCATGTCATGTACAATATCAATAAAGCTGAAAGGGTCGTTGTCGGCACGGGTACTACAGATGTGTACTCCAGGTACGTTTCTGTATACAGAAATGTACCCTGGCCATAATCAGAATACAGAAATGTACCCTAGGACGATACCATCCTGCATTGTGGAGTTTTCTTGATCGGAACTGTCATACTGTTGTATTAGATGCATTTGGTTGCGTTATATAAGAGCATACACAGTATAACGAATATTTCACGGTGCACAACGTACACTACTCGCAATGAGCTGAACGGGAATAACTATACATATACGGTTTCGGTATTGGGTCGCGGAATATGGACTCGGGTATGTACCGGGTACGTTTCTGTAGTTTCTGTAGTTTGACTTTGTTTAAGGTACATGTCTGTATACAGAAACGTACCTGGGGTACATATCTGTAGTACCTGTGCCGACAACGACCCCTTCAGCATCAATAACTCCCCACCCCCACCCCCCCAACACACACCTTCCCATAATGTCTAAGCTTAACTCTTTAATATTTTATGTACAAAATTGCTGACCCCCCGAGGATATGTGTACAAAATTGATGACCCCTACCTCCCCAGATAAAATGGGTGACCCACTCTTAGAATTACCATTACCCCCTTAGTCATAAATTATGAACGGTCCCTAAAAGTAAAATTCAGTACACATTGTGTAAGACTGTATGTCTTTAAAGCAACTAGGATAATTTGACAAGTACATTATATTTAGACACAAATATTTTAACAAGACAGTGTGAAAAGAATGCCTTCTCTTACTTACTTACTTACTTACTTACTTACTTACTTACTCACTCAAAACATGCCGCCTCAAAACATATTAATCACATATCATTTAGAAATATTTAAATTGAAATGTCCCTTGCCTCCCCACCTAAATAGAATATTTCAAGAGTTGGAGTTGGCTGTTTTGTTGAGTTACTTCCCTTAGTACATAGCGTTTTAACAATGACTACGACCTGTTCATAAGCGGTGGGGGTTGGGGTGGGGTGGTGTTTGGGGTTGAGCTGCTAGTCCACAAACAATTCATTTGTATATTTTCTTAACAAAACAACAGCTTGTATCACAGACCTTGGACCTCATTATGTTTTTTCCTTCTAACCAGCCCTTTCCCCAATGCAAAATATACCCTAAAATGAAGTAAGTCTAGATTTCCGGAAGTTCTGAATTTCCCTGCTCACAGGGTTCTTTTTTAGTTTAACAGACTTATTCGTTTCTATCAACGTTATACATATTCAGAGACTAAGTGTTGTGCAAACAAAAGCAGTGAGTGAGTTGGGTTTTACGCCCCTTATAACCATATTCCAGCAATATCACGGCGGGGGACACCAGAAATGGACTTCACACATTGCACCAATGTGGGGAATTGAACCCGGGTCTTCAGGGTGATGAGTGCACGCTTTAAATGCTAGGCTACCCCACCGCCGCAGATTTCAAAACAAAACAATATCCCCCAAACTATTTATGATCCAGAACTTCTTTGTTGAGGATATGTGTTGACATGTGAGTATGCTGTGTGTTCCAACTTTAGCTATCCTAGCCCCCTTTCTTCTCACTCTTCCTGTATCACTTACATATCTGCTGATTAAAAACAATTATGTGTCAATGGTGTAAGCATTTGTACTCCATTGACCAATACTGTATCAGGACTGTATTAGGTGTAAATGCTGTGAGCATTAACATTGTATGTATCAATAATTTGTGTAATCATGGTTATAATGCTGTATGAATACTGTTGGTGTCAGTGTTATAAATATTGAAACTGCTTCATTTAAAAAAATAAAATATAATCTAAGGCTAGACCAATTTTATTTCTTGTTTTACGGATTTTTGTCCTCAGAAAACCTTAAGGCAGGAGGGAAAAAAACTAACGTTATAATCACCAGTCAAAGTAATATTCCTTCTAAATACTCACAGTATTTTACTTTTGGCAATTAATGAAGTGTATATGGGGCAAAAATCGATCTTAAATAAACTTATTTTGTAAGTTTACATTTTTGGCCAATAAAGACAGGATTTTATTTCTTGAGCGGGGAAAATTTATTTATTTATTTTTCTTATTCTTGAACAAATATGACATGCGGATCCATAAAACAAGAAATAAAATTAGTCTGGCCTAAAAAAATAATATAAAAATACATGTATTAATATAATTGTTTGGAAAAAAACCCAACTGATTATTTTTGCCAGTCAATCCATGATACTTTTTATGAATTGTTGAATCAACCAGTCAAATTGTATGAGACTGTGGTGACCAGTAGATGTCAGAGTACCAGCATATGTTATGATTTCCTGGCTATCATCATAATGATAATTGACACATTGCCTGTTAGTGAGCACTCATTTTGGGTAGAGTGAGTGAGTGAATTTGTCTCTCACTGCATTATATGCATATAGAACCTTTTAGCAATATTCCAATATGTATTTTATGTGAGACTTGAAATGGAATAATAAAAAATAAAAAAAAATAATAATATTCCAGCAATATCATGGCGGAGGACACCACAAATGGGCTTCAGACATTGTAACCATGTGAGGAATCAAACCCGGGCCTTCAGCGTAACGAGGAACACATTAACCACTAGGCTACCCCACAATGTGGGTAGAGCTGGTCACTACCAATCTAGCTGATAGTGTATCCGGTCGTCAGGCAAGGCTACATCATGTACCCCAGCCTCTTATACCATTAAGTTGCAGCTCCGTATGTTGCAACTACATTGTTCCCAAAGGAGAGAGGAGCGTCAGCTTTTATGGTTCCAGTTCTGTATCCTCTGTAGAGCATAACATCCCTCTGGACATAATAGTATAAGTTGTTTAGCTTTTTTTTTTTTTTAGTATTTATTACAGCTATATGGCGGCGGTCTGTAAATGATCGAGTCTGGAAAAGACAATCCAGGGCTCGATTTAGTACTTTGTTACTTGCACTGGTGCAACCCAATATTTTAAAGTGCAATCTAGCTATTAGCTGAACTTGCACCTGGTGCAACTCAATTTTGAGTGGGTAAACTCTCAATAAAACATCTAAATAATTCAATACCATATTTCTTACATTGCATATTGCAATAAAAGCAGTGCAACTGGAATTTGGCTGGTGCAACTAGGTTTTTATCTTAGGTTGCACCTGGTGCAAGTAGGTTAACATCTCTTAAATCGAGCCCTGCAATCTGCATTTGGATCTAGTCACCTGACCACACTGCTTGATCCTACGAACAGCAGTGAGTGAGTGAGTGAGTTTAGTTTTTAACAGCAATATTCCAGCTATATGGGCGGTCTGTAAATAATCGAGTCTGGATACCATTACAGCATGAGCATCGATCTTGCGCTAATTGGGAACCAAGTCACCTTAAAGACCAGACTGCTTGATCTCCTTTTACGACAAGCATGGTTTGCTGAAGATCAATTCTAACCTGGATCTTCACAGGCACTATAAGCTGTCTGAGTGACTGAGTTTGGTTTCATGCCACTTTCAGCAATATTCCAGCAATATCGTGGCAGGGGACACCAGAAATGGGCTCCACACATTGTACCTATGTGCGGAATTGAACCCGGGTCTTCAGTGTGACCGTTTAATGCTTTAACCACTAGGCTACCCCACCGTGCACAGTGTAAGCTGGCTAGAGGTTATCACACTGCAGGCAATAAGTACTTCAGGGCTCTCAGCTATGGCCTCATGCACTAGTGTAAATATCCTACTAGAGGAAGGTTTCAGAGTGTTCATGATAACAATCATTAGGTTTGAGTGAGTGAGTGAATGAGTTTAGTTTTATGCCACACTCAGCAATATTCAAGCTATATGGCGGCGGTCTGCAAATAATCGGTCTGGACCAGACAATCCAGTGACCAACATCCATCGGCAAAATTGGGAACTGATGACATGTGTCAACCAAGTCATCGAGCTTGACCACCCAATCCCCTATGTCGCCTCTTACGAAAAGCATGGGTTACTAAAGATTAATATTCTAACCCGGACCTTCACGGGTCTCATTAGGTTGGACTTGACTATACAGATCAAGATATAGAAGGATATTGTTAACAGAAGCATTCACTCTCACTCACAAAGACAGAACAAGGACTTGTGGAAATGTGTTTATTTAAAGAAGACACTGTACACAAGCAGACTAAATATGAATGGAAAGACTAAATGTTGTGTATACAAAATGTTGCCATAGAAGGTATACATAAATTAGTACCAATTATCAACACGTTAGAATGGAATGGCTGTTTCCCTCGACTGCCTGGACAATTGTACATGCTGTCCCTACCATTAATGTGTCCTTTAAAATTAATCTCAGCATTTGATTCCTGAAACAGGGCTGGAACTCGGTGGGAATGTCAACAGGCAGAGAGATTTATTGGAATGTCGAAATTTTAGGGACCGTATCTCAAGTTGTCATCATTTCAAAATCACAAGTAATTTGACTGATCTTGGTACAACACAAGAGTACATCTCATTCCCATGATGTTCAAGATTTTTCAAATCAACTTTATTTACAAAATGACAATTGAACTATTGACACGACCCCCATTACAAGGGGCACCTGCTGTAATAGAATGAGCTCGAGAGCAGCAGCCACTCTTGTCAAATAAAATGTACTTGCACGTTTAGCAGGTGTAGGTAGGAAAGGGGACGCTCCTCGACCATGCAGTTCACCCAAACACTTGCCTTGTCATATATTCATGACAATCACTTACCCGCACATAATGTTATTTGTCTCTGGCCTGCTGGCAAGAGTTTACATGAACTGATCTACAAATCTCAATATGGACTTGGTCCCTGAAACTCGGAGCAATTAACATTTCACAACCTTCTTGAAAGTAATTCATTAAGTATTAAAAAAGACACAAATTCAATCTGTCAGTTCAATTTTGCAGCTGAATTTGAAAATTACCTGCAGATTTTTTTTATTTTGATACTGTTTTCCTGACGAGACATTGTAGGACTTTCCTGATTAATTAAATTGATTATTAATTAAGACTTTGTAGAACGTCTATTTGCATACATTGGTGTCAGCCTATTTCTTAACCAACAGCTTGTCTGGGTCCCTCTTCCATGCACAAACAAAGGCTTGACAGGGAACACACAACAAATGAGAACAATATCCACTTGAAACATGATACAACATAAGATAACACATATCTGTGAATGATTCCGTGTGACGCATGCGACACACATAAATGTTTATATTCTAGCCTGCAGCAGTTAAGTTGAAAAAATACTGTCAATTTAAACTCTCGATCCAAAATTCTTATAACATGGGAGGCCAACATGAACCAATGAAATTCCTCCGCTTCATTCAATTTTCGCCAAAATTTGAAAATAATTTCTCGCAAGTGCTAAAAAAGACAGTATTCCTTAAGTGATGAATTATGATTTGGCCAAGCGACTGTGAATCCAAATACGCGAGCATGTTGATTTCTAGGCTGGGCAACAGTGATTGATGTCAACTGTACACAGTGTCGAAGAACTACTACAATCAGATCACCACGACCAACACACAACACTTTGAGTATAGTTCAACTGCTCCAACACCACGACCAAATACAATCGGAAACGAAATTTGGGATTATATATCAGTCAGAAACATATATGTCTTCCTTAGCACTACCTTTTGGTGAATGTGTGTAATTGGTTTTAAACTACGAAGTACTCTTAACACCATTTTTCACGAAATCTTGGTCGAGGTTGTCTGTCAGGGAGATTTCTACTTCGGACATCACAACACGATGACAGAGTATCTACCTTGCCTAACTAATCAATGAATATTTGTCCATGACCTACGTCACAGAAGCAAAGGACACACATATATTGCTCAATATCAAAAAATCTGTGTACAAGACAATTAATTTGCACAACTGTTGTGTTGAAAGGAAGGAATCTACCAAGCTCAAACTCCACCATCTGGGTACACACTTCGGCAATATACAAAATATTGAACACTATACAAGAATGGCATTAAAATAAGCAAGTATGATAACAGGTACAATAACTATGTCATCACAAGGATCTAAATTGTCAGATAATGATCTACGATAATAATCTGTCAAAGGAATAGTACACTTAAAAAAGCTGTTATTCAAAAGTGGATACATAGAACACAACCACTGTACAGACATCCAATTATTTTAACATGGCTTTAGGAATCGACTTAACGTAAATGCTGTTAGTGCCACTAATCTGATAAAAACACCAGCATCAATCCTACGATTGGATAAACTGTACGCTATTTTGTAGGATACTATTTCCATTACTGTGGAATAAAATGTCATTGTAAAACATCGTAGAACTGAGTCACTAACACGGAAACGAGCCCTAATCAAGTCTTATTAAACTGAACACAAAGTCTTCCTGTGATTTAAAACTACAGGTTGTTTTGTAAGCTGCACAACACGTCTCAATTTGATTCAGTCACGAACGCTTAGCAATCACATTTGGGCGGCCGCAGTTTTGTGGTGGCAGGAAGGCAGTTGCAAGGAACAACATCGGGTCTGGCTCTAACTGAAGACTAGTAGTTTGCTGGTAATGATATCCGCAGCTGTTTTACTTGGTGTTTTGAGATGCCGCCGCCCATACATATCTGTACTCAAGCACAACTTGCACTACTTTCATTGTGACGTCTGCGACATTTCAAAGTATCTGTAAGTGGGGTTTTCGTACCCATTCATTTGCATATTTGCAACATGGCGCTCTTCTGGTGATGCTGCCGGGTCCACCTCTACGTAACCGTGGGTTACGGGTTGGCGATGGTTCCTCCTCCTCAGCATAACAATGGCGACAACGATGATGACGAAGACGGCCACGCTGCCGATAGCAATGCCAAATGTACTTCCAACCTGGTTGGACATTCCGTGAATGGCCACTTCCTGTACAGACTGAAAGAAGAAGAAGAGCATTATTACAGTAAGCGAGTGAGTTGGGGTTTACGCTGCTTTTAGCAATATTACAGCAGGAAACCAATTTATCACAATGATTTGTTTGTTTAATGCTGCACTCAGGGCAATATTCAACTGATATGTCAGTGGTGAGCACATTGAGCATGTACTAGTTGCATGGATATGTGCGCGATATAAATATCTTATGATAAATAATTGAGTCCGGTCAAGACAATGTCAAGAGATTGACCTCATGAGCATTGATCTACATAATTGGGATACTACTTGCAAGAGCCAAGTTATTGCCTCTTACAACGAGCAGTGTATGCATTTTCAGATGATTTTGTATATGTATTTTAAAAAAACCCGTTGTTGCTAGGCTTAAGGTAGAAGAGTTCCCAGTAAGACAGTTTGTTGCCAACATTTCAGACAGTATGTGGGTATTATGTAAGATGGGTTGGATAACGCTGGATCATGAACCTGGGTTAATCACCTCATGATGTGATGATTACAATTTGTCATTTTACTAAAGGAGCAGAAGCCATGGCTTCTACCCAACTGTCTGACACTAGAAGCCATGACTTCTACCCAACTGTCTGACACTAGAAGCCGTGGCTTCTACCCAACTTTCTGACACTGTGCAATTAGGCTGTGAGTGAATTTGCTGGCAAAGGTAACTGAAAGTGCCAAGAGACTAAGCTACTGTCTGCATGGACAGTGTGCCAAAACTTTAAGGCCACATTTAAACAATTTCGGAACACTGGTTATCTCTAATGGATATTAAATTTCAACACCAGTCAACCAAAGGCTTTTACTGCCATGACATGGAGTTCCCAGAAACTCTGAGGTCACAGATGGAGCCTATGTTTATCAGGGAAAATATCAGCTTGTAAAACATTATTGCTACTACATATCATACACCATTTGAAAGGTCTAATCCTACTGTTTATAAATGTGAAATTTATTTTTGATCATATTATTCAAATAATCCAACTAAAACTTAAATAAATTAATTTTTCATGAAAATGCAAGCTTAAACATTTATAATGTCCAGATAAACCACGAAGGAAGCAAAAAGTGCTGCGATTTTTTTCCATTTGTAACATGTCATAATATCCCCTTACCTTTTTCTTCCATATTTTCATTTTTACGCAATCGGAAAATTATTTTAAAAAGAGATTTCTCAAATAATATGTATGGTCATCAATTTCCCGATATCAGTGGCTTCCCGCTCCGTTATGTGATACAACAGCGAGAAATACCTCGGTTTTCGAAGCTTCGTATGAATAACATGTGAGGCGATTCGTTTGATGGCGGGTATCGTTCGAAAGCTCTGAACATCAGCAATATCACTGTACCCTTGCTAAGAGTATTTTCACAGTTGTAAGAAGCGATTTTATTGGATAAAGCTTGGTTTCTAATGACGCTTTTTCACTACAGTCTGCTATAAAGATCGTGACTGGTCAAAATCAGACACGTGACCTAAGGCAGTCAATCATATTACAGCAATGGATACCGTCCTCATAAACAAAAACTTAAGATTCGGACGAAAGTTTGGGATAAAATCACGATATTTTGAACGTGTTACGCAAAAATCACTACCTATACGTATATAATGGAACTTAGTGGACGTATCGGGCTAGGTTATGACATGTGACAAAAAGGCTTCATGCATATATTTTAGCATTAAACATGTCCGAGTGTGAAGTTTGAGGCGACGAAAGCCGAGATGTCACTTGAATGACATTACACGATCACTCAAAAAGATGGAAATTGTAAGTTATAATGTACGTTTGACAACTTTTATGAGTACTGTTGTTGATTTTATTCTTCAGGTTATTCAGTTTGTCTGATTATTTTCTTGAAACATCGTTACTATGCTCTTTGACAACTTTGCTGTGGACCCGTTGCCAGATAGATTTGATAAAAGAATCATATGTTAGTTAGGTTCCTAAAATTATGTATCATTTTGATGGGACTACTGCCTGGCCGGTTTACCGGCCTACGGTGTCTGGGGACTTGTGACGTCTTGGCCGGTTTTCCGGCCTACGGTGTTGAATGGGTTAAACAAAACATAGTCAGGGATCATGAACACTTCTAGGGGATATTTTTCTGATATAGTGTGTTCAGTTTTCAGTACAAAACAATTTAAACCTATTGACAGTTAAATTATATCAAATTTACACAAGGCTTCAATGCATAAAGGGAGAAAATCAGATGAATTATTCTCAGTTATCTCCCTTCAACCATCCTATGGAGGGGATTGTTTGTGACACACAGATCGCATTTGAAACAAATGTAAATGTCTTTAAAATCAGGGTGGCGGAGATGGTGAGAGAGACACCCACTACTTAACAAATACCAGTATACTGCCAGTTGGCAAGGTTCCAGGGTTTCTGTAGAACTTTTTTGTAAAAAATCTATAACTTACTCGGTCATCGACATGCATGCCCTCATCCACAACGTGGGCAACAAAGTGGTCATTGTGCTCGTACGCATGTTCATCCTCGTGGGTCTCATCCATCTTCTCCTCGCTGGAGCTCTTGTTGTCATCTTGCAAACAAATAATGTCAGGTTAACAGAAGCGATCAGGTTGTTCATAATCAGACAAGTTTCATAGAACAACACTCTTGAGTTGGTCGTAAGTTGTAAATGTTTGCTGAACTTTCTACGTATTGCAACACTTCTGGGGGCCTGGACTGTGGACCAGGTTCAACACAGAGCAACTTGCACCTACCATTCCCCTTTTTCCTCAAAGCAATAACAGACTACGACTATCATGATACGTTTAGGCTATTAGGAATTATGTCCCTTCAATTTCACTCCAACTGATAAAACAGACACCAACTCTCATATCTGCTTCAAACAAAATGAGTGAGTGAGTGAGTTTAGTTCTACGCCGCACTCAGCAATATTCCAGCTATATGGTGGCAGTCTGTAAATAATCGAGTCTGGACCAGACAACCCAGTGATCAACAGAATGAGCATTGATCTGCGCAATTGGGAACCGATGACATGTGTCAACCAAGTCAGCAAGCCTGACCACCCGATCCCGTTAGCTGCCTCTTACGACAAGCATAGTCGACTTTTGTGGCAAGCATGGGTTGCTGAAGACCTATTCTACCCCAGATCTTCACGGGTCTCAAACAAAATGGCTGTGCCAAGTCAACATGATCCGATCGCATACTCAAGATCTGATTTCACTAAGTGCAGGAAATCACATGAGCACACTAGTTACAAATAAAGATGGAGAAAATATCTGCCGATGCTGGAGTGATGGTTCACATGCTTTACAAATCCTGCAATTGACAGAAATTTGCCTGGTCTACCATGCTGTCTACCGACTGAAACATTGTTTTCTGTACATGATTCTGATAGAACTTACGCATACACTTGCCAGACAAAACATAACTCGGAAATTCCAGTTAAGTTCGGCAACGGCTGGAACTGTAGTGTATTAATTCCATTGCCTTTAGATGGTGAAGTGTTGAATCATACAACTAAAGGGTACCTTTACCTATAGAACCCAAAATAGATCAATCAAAACAATGCCTTCACTACAAGATTGTGTGAGTATAAAAGATGAAATATTTTCAAGGTTGTTCAGTATGGTTCCAGTGAGTAACTTCGGTTAAATGCTGTATGGAACAGTATTTCAGTCATATCACAACACGTCCGCCTGAAGTGGGTGAAGACCCTGAAATGGTTCAGTCTCAGGTCATTACCACTATGGTGAAACCACAAGCATGGGGCTGACAATTACCCAAACATAATCAGGGCGAATCTAGAGTTCAAACCTTAGATCTACCCTGCTTCTGGCAGTTACTCAGCACATCGCCCTCTGGTGTCCCAGACAACTGAGCCCGATCCTCCAGTGTTAACTAGCCTACACTGGGATCATCGTAGCTGATGAAACTACAAGCATGATGCGGACAGTTACAAAGAAATAATCAGGTTGAATTTAGTGGTCAAACCCATGATTAACACTGCTTCTGGAATGTCTGAGTGTGGAAACTCTGGAAAGTGACTTGTGTCACCTTAGACCACAAGGTCAAGTCGCCTTTATCAGTGTTAAATGCCATGTTTCCCATACCTTGGCCATCGTAGTGGGTGAAACCATACTACAGGTATGGTTTTGACAAATGCACAAACATAATCAGGTTGAAACCAGTGGTCAAACCCATGATCACACACACTGCTTCTGGAACGTCTGAGTGTGGCCACCCTTGAAAGTGACTGGAGTGAGTGAATGAGTATGGTTTTACGCCGCTTTTAGCAATATTCTACCAATATCATGGCAGGGGACACCAGAAATGGGCTTCACACATTGTACCCATGTGGGGAATCGAACCCAGGTCTTCAGCGTGACGAGCCAACGTTTTAACCACTAGGTTACCCCACCGCCCCAAATGCTTATAAGTACCCCACAGAGGACCTCTTCTGAAAGAGAATGTTACATGCAGCAAGTCCCATACCTTGGTTATTGTAGTTGTAGTCATCAGCACTCTGCTGAGGCTGAGTGTTGTCGTTGAGGATGACGTTCTTGGCGCGCTGGCATCGACGGCTCTGTATCTCAGGGCAAACTTTACTGTAACACAAAGTAGTGTTGGGAGTTGGCAGAAATCTCACAATTGATGATTGGTTCATTACTAACCAGCAATCACTGAAAAACCATTGGTTAGCATCATTTTTCACATTTTCCTTTCAGGTTGTTATTGCAGATAAGTATGAAGAAAAATGTAAATTGATGCAATTTCTTACTTTAAAGTGGTGACTAATATATTATGAACATAAACCTCCCAGAGTCTTCAAGAAATACTCAGTCATGACATTTCAGTAAGTGAAATGAGTTTTCTAAGAATTAAACATGCTGTCAGGCCGTAACAACTTCTAAGATATGTTCCATTGTCAAGTGTTTCAAACACTAAAACAGTAGTCCCAAATCGTGTGTATTTGACTATGAGAAAACGTGATTGATTGATTAATTGCTTGGTCGCTTGGTTACTGCAACCATTCTTCAGTTATTTCAATTAATCGCAACACCACTAATACAAAGACACGAATGCTACAAAAATTGACAAAGTAGACATAATAAATCTGTTGACCATTTTATAAATAATTTACCCCATATCAAAACTATGATTGCCTGAACTTTTCTACCCATTCCTGCTGTTCACAACTCCCGCTGTAACTCACTGACCTCAAATTTAACCTTATTATCTAAGACCCCAACTCACAGATCTCATATTTAACTATATTATCTAAGACCCCAACTCACAGATCTCATATTTAACTATATTATCTAAGACCCCAACTCACAGATCTCATATTTAACTATATTATCTAAGACCCCAACTCACAGATTTCATATTTAACTATATTATCTCAGACCCCAACTCACAGATCTCATATTTAACCTTATTATCTAAGACCCCAACTCACAGATCTCATATTTAACCATATTATCTCTGGCCCCAACTCACAGATCTCAAATTTAACCTTATTATCTCAGGCCCCAACTCACGGATCTCTGGCTTGACATCCTTCTCGACGTCTGGGTATCTGGAGAGCATCCCGAGTGTCTGGTTGAGTCTCTCGTCAATCAGCTTGATGTGTTCCCTGTAGTGTGGCCTGATGCGTTCGAGTTCAGTGGGCTCGGTGTATTTGACGTGCTGGTAGTGGTTCACGGTGTGCATCTTGTCTTTCTCCTCAGCACGGAAATAGGCACGCAGGTACTTCAAAATCTTGTGGGCCTAACAGAAAAGGAAGGAAGAAGAAACATAGTATGATATCATGCACACAGATCAACAGAAACAAGTGAGAAAATACCCCAACACACATCACTTCACACACTGAAGATAACAGTCACATATCGAGAATCTCACCCTCGTGTCTTCTGATATCAAATATATCAATACGAGTTGATTAAAGTTACAAATTTTTACTTTTACTTTAATCAACGAGTGTTGATTATTTGATATCAGAAGACAAGGGGGTGAGATTTTATTTATCATCCAAAACTATTCTTCATCAGTCATCAGTGAAAGAATGAATTTATCTGAACACATAACTGCCATTAGACTTCTTGAGCAGTGATCTCAGTGAGGTCATAGCATTGTGACATCATGACATTGTCTGCTGTGTTCTTAGTGAGGTCAACATATTATGAGGTCATTAACTGACGATGTAATAGCATTATGACAAATCAATTGTTGTGATATCTAAAATATCTCACACAAGCGATATCTACTGTGGGAGTCAGTTTTGGATGATAAAAGGCTTTGGTTTGAAGGAATCACATGTATACTGGACAGGATACAATATAATAACTTTTCACCCTTTCCAAACAGTGTTTTTTCAGGTATAATGTATCAAACACACTACAATTTGGCTGATGACCTTTTCCATGTTCATATTAAACTTAAAGAAAGATGTGAAGTTTGGTGAAGACGAACAACTTACATCCCTCTTGTCCTCCTGCAGGGCGGTCTGGAACTTCTCGATGGCCAGACGCTTGCGTTTGTTGAGGTCACCCTGGATGTGCTGCTGGTGCAATGCCACGATCTGCTTCTTCTCTGCCAGATCCTCTTGCTCATAAGACTCGTACAGGCGCTGGAATCTCTGAAATAACCCAGGTGATAACATTACATACACCTGTGCAGATGATGGACTCTCTGATAACACTACATACACTCATACAGGAAGTGGAACGTCCATAACAACCCAGGCGATAACACACAGGTGATAAAATGTCTTATCTCACATGATAACATCATACATATTTATATATGTACCATGCAGGGTAGAAGCCAGCCAAACACAGCCATAACATTAACGTCTGGTCATCCCCTTACAAGACATGAACTGAGATGGACAATGTACCTCTGTGATCTCGTGACTGAGGGTCTGGGCACTCTTGGGGTCAGTCTTCCTCAGCTCGGCAACATGTTCTCTGGCTGCCTGCCACTCTTTCATCAGCTGGGGACAAAAACATCAAAACTGAGGTCTTTTTGTCAACGTATATATTAGTCATATATTAGTGTGCCATTGGCACGGTAAATATTGAAATGGCATGGTTAAAAAATGTTCTCGTGCCCTTATGGCATGCCTAATTTTTGGAAAACAAAACACGCCTTTAGTCATTTAATCCCCCAAACAATCATTATTTTCCGCATTGGATAAATGCCATACACATTTGAATGCTCAAAAACCCATTTCTCTATCTAACAATAAATTTCAAATGATCATCATCATTGTCATTTATTCTAAAAACATGTGGACACACTTGATTTCTGAAAGGCACACCTAAAATATTTGTCTGGTGCCCTAAGGCACACTTAGAAAAAAAGGTATTTCTATCCCTGTAAGGTAAGCACCTTGGTGATCTTAGACTGTTGGTCTTTGCGCATGAACTTGCGGGCACTGAGGTACCACTCGTGCTCATTCTTAAAGCCGTTCTTGAGACCCTTGAGATAGTCACGGTACACGTTCTCCAAGGATGGTTTGTTGGCTGCCTGAGTCTTCTTGTGTTCGTGACTCTTAGTTTCGGTGGAGTCATCCTCCTCGTCCGAGTCCGAGTCCTCATCCGAGTCGTCCTCATCACTGTGGGTCACCAGAGGCACAGGCTTGCCATCAGTGGCTGCAACAAGACACAGAGCATATCAACATAATTCACACCTGCAAGGGTTGTTTCGTCCATACTGCAGTGAGCAATGTTCCAGGTAAATCACAGTCATAGGGATTTAGCAATATTCCCACTAAATCATGGTCACCTATAAACACAATCTGTCTGATGTTATCATCAATATTACTGTAAATCGTCCTTTAGTTTGTCAGGATTTAGCAATATTCCCGCTAAATCATGGTCGCCTGTAAACACAATCTGTGTGATGTTATCATCAATATTATTGTAAATCTCCCTTTAGTTTGTCAGGATTTGGCAATATTCCAGTTAAATCACAGTCACAAAGAAACAGCACGATATGTCTGATGTTATCATCAATATTATTCCAAATCTCCCTTTAGTTTGTCGGGATTTAGCAATATTCACGCTAAATCATGGTCGCCCACTAACACAATCTGTGTGATGTTATCAATATTGCTGTAAATCTCCCTTTAGTTTGTCGGGATTAGCAATATTCCAGCTGAAGCATGATGGGAGACATCATGATTGAGGGAATCAAACCAGGGACAACGGAGAGATAAGCAAACACTTTGCTTCATGATGTTACCCCAAAGTCTCAGTGTCCTATAACATTAGGTAAAAAAAGCAGTCAACAAAGCCCCTAACAGCGTTTAAAATTCCCGCCTGCCCGACCGTCCGGAACGGTCTATTTTCATCTCGAACGGTCAAATTTCAAAAGTAGCCTGTCTGGTGGTCTGGTAGATATTTTTACCCCAAGAGTAAATATTTCATATCAGACAGGTTCTCTTGTCGTCAGTTTGAGGTGTTTAGGGCATTATGAAAATATGTTAAACTATTTACGATTGGACAGTTCATGTTTCGATAACCAATCACAACACATGTACTTTCAGTTTTACCTAAACTCGTGCATTGCTTGTTAGTGCTATGTAGATGTAGTGTGATGCCTACAAACAGTGAATGGAGCTTGTCACAGTTGGAAATGGCAGTCACAGGTTTTTATCGTTGAAAACTGGACAGGCAAGTTTGTATTCGGACTGGTAATCATTTAAAGTTACCAGTCTGGCTGTCTAGCTTGGAATTTTGGGAGCTTTAAACACTGCCTTTAGCAACTCAAGCAGCAGGATTCTGTTCCATGCATAATCCATAACCCAGGGTTTTACGCAAAGCAGAAATGTGTGTCTAATATGTAGAGAATAGACGCAGGAAATTACATATACTGTTTCCCTTGGAACACACAATAATACTGACTGTTCAAAATTTGTGACAAGAAATATGCAGTTCTTGTAGTAGGGCTGGGACGATACACTGTCACGATACGATACGTATTGCGATAATTTACCTGCGAATACATACATACATACATACATACATACATACATACATACATACATACATACATACATACATACATACATACATACATACATACATACATACATACATACATACATACATACATACATACATACATACATACATACATACATACACCTTGAAGGAATGACACAGTATTAAGATTAAAAATGATGTATTTCAAGGTATTTGTGTATAACAATAACACTATTGTAATAAACAAACAAGTAACTCTATCACACTTTCGTATTTTTCTCTAAACAAGTACTGTAACATGTTTAAGATAATACTGTTTTGAAAACAAGTTGTGTATCGTTTTGTATCGATACACTAGTCGACGATACGATAGCTGTATTAAACTTAAATGCATCGTGATGTATCGGTGAATCAGTGAATCGTCCCAGCCCTATCTTGTCATTAAAGTAATCATTCAACCTTACGATACAGTCTGCTGCATCATTTCATCACTTTGTGGAGCCTCGTATTTCATGTACCGATCCCCGAAATTAGTAAGTAGGGGTCCTGTGGATACCTAATAATGTTGGTCAGCGTAAAACCCTGCAATCCAACACATAAAACTACCCATTTGCCTTTTTAGCAAAGCCTTCTTGTTGTGAAAATTTTAACTTCTGAAACTTAATTCTGCTCTACGACAGTTGCTTGAAATGCTTTCTGTAATGGGAGCAACGTGAAACACATTTGTGGTGTCAGTCGTCATGTCACGGATAAATTATCCATCGGGGTAAATTCACACGAATTCTGATCTTAAATGTTTGGGTTTTTTAAAAATCTGACATTTCCTGTTGGCCATACAATCCAAAAGTTCAAATGTAACTATGTATCATCCTCAGTCCGTGAAAGAGTATGTTTGTGAGCGTCTTCTGCAGACAGGAGAAATCTGGAAACTGGAGATTGATCGATTAAAAGACGTGATGCTTTGTCAAAGTGGAGATAAGTACAGCATGATTTAATTATGGAATTGTCTTCTGTCTACATCAATAACAGGGATCTTAGCATTACAACATTGCAGCTCTTCGATAAAGCATGTGTCACCATAGCCTCAGCACTAAGAGCAATTTGTGGACTGGGCCTTGGGTGTGCAAAGATAAGCCTGGCTGACAAATGAGCGAATGCTGTTTTATGACACTTTCATTACTATTCAGTACCAGACATTCTGCATTCTATGCATAAAAATTGAAAACAGGCCTTAGAAATGATACTAAGGATGTCCAATGGGACAAACCTGAATTTGTTGGCATGGAAAGAATGCTGCCATTTGTTGCCATTTTGCAATAATTTCAATACTTAATCTGTAAATAAATTATAAATTAAAATGCTAAGTGAATTACAACTGTTACTAAAAACTGAGCAAAACATATGAATGTGCCTCTCATGAAAGTATAGCCAGTAAGTGAGTCTAGTTTTACGCCGCTTTTAGCAATATTTCAGCAATATCACAGTTTGGAACACCAGAAATGGGCTTCACACATTGTACTCATGTGGGGAATCGAACCCGGGACTTCAGCATGACGAGCGAACATCTTCACCACTAGGCTACCCCACCACCCCATAGTCTTCATCAAGTCACTTTACGAGATAAAAATGTCCTTTGACAAGAAATAGACTCATATTCTCTATGTTTTTTTATTTTAGCTTGGACACATATATTTCTACTTGTGAGCCGACCATTAAGAACTGCTAGATCCCTGGACCCGCAAAATAAAAAACAGTGCAAATCAGCCATACCCAGACAGGACAAACTAGTCATATCCTTGTCCCACAGCACCAAACACCTGACCACATAGTACATGATAACTGTCTGGAAGCCAGAAAGTAAATGATGTACCAACAAACGAATTTCCAAATCACTAATATTCGAATTCCATGCTGCCTTTAAAAAAAGTCATTACTCGCCAAGCAACAAGAAAACCGAGACCAAATTGTCCATACATTATTCCTGAAGCTCCATAATATGGAAATGAGGCTTTGTTACAAGACATGCAACAGTCAAGCAACATAGCCTTCCCCTGATCAATAAGCACTCGTTTCTCGCCGTAGTCAGGCCGATATTTCTGCCTCGTCTGCCGTTATCTCCCAACAATCAGGACATGTACACTGCAATCATTAGGTGATCCCTGCCCTCTACCAACAGCTATGTCCTTAGTCTCCCCAACACAGACTCTCCTATCCCTACCCCAGCTCACTCGAGCGCCCCCCCCTTGTACCCATCACCCCCAACTCCCCCTAAAAACTGTCTTCTTCAGTTGTAGACTAACTCATCTTGACATTTTGGGCACAAAAATCAATATGGCTGCTTGATGTGCATAAATATTACAGAATATGACACAACAGAAGTGTGCAGAAGACACCAAGACTCTGCTGCCCAATGACAGGCTCATTAAACTGCAGTAGTCTGACAGGTTTCACATGCATACAAATAGACCTCAAGAAAAATGGATTCAAGTATAGGAAATACTTCAACTGCTCTCTCAAGCTGGAGCCATAGTGGCCCATTCATTCTTGTAAGTTGTTTGTTCAGCTTTTTCTTGCCATGCTGTGAGAGAGTAGTGTTTTCAGGCTACTAATCCTGATCCCATAAACCAAGGATTTATCATTGTGGGAATGGGACTTTGCTGTAACAAACTACCCCATGTCTGCACCGCCTGTACAAAGTGCTTGGTAAAGGTTCCAACTGGCACCAGAATGGCAGGTTTCCTTACTGTTAACAAACCATGAATTATAACCAATTCATGGACACAATGAGTGAATGAGTGAGCGAGTGAGTGAGTTTAGTTTTATGCCGCGCAAAGCAATATCCCAGCTATATGGCGGCGGTCTGTAAATAATCGAGTCTGGACCAGACAATCCAGTGATCAACAGCATGCGCATCGATCTACACAATTGGGAACCGATGACATGTGTCAACCAAGCCAGCGAGCCCGACCACCCGATCCCGTTAGTCGCCTCTTACGACAAGCATGGGTTACTGAAGCTTCATTCTAACCCAGACCTTCACAGATCATGACCTCAGGGGTATACTATATATTTCAATGTCATTCAAGCCAATACCAAATATCAAACAGTATGTGGGGAAAAAAATAAAGGGATGTCTATATTAGCAACCGATTTGATGCACTTGAACACGCGTCTGACGTGACTATTGTACTGGCCATATTCAGCTCTCTGATCCCACAAACACCCCTGAGCATCATCAGGACCAACATGTAACCAGTCCATCTGTGAGTGAGTGAGTGAGTGAGCGAGTTAGGTTTTACACCGCTTTTAGCAATATTCCAGCAATATCATGGCAGGAAACACCAGAAATGGGCTTCACACAATATACGCATATGGGGAATCGAACCCATGTCTTCAGCGTGACGAGCGAACGCCCTTAACCACTAGGCTACCCCACCGCCCCAGTCCATCTGTGAAGATCCAGGTTGGAACTGGTCTTGAGCAATGAATAATTGCCGTGACAACTGGATCAGGAGCCCAGGCTTGTTGACTTGGTTGATGCAATCCTAAATGCACAGATCAGTCCTTTTGTTGTTAATCACTTGATTATCTGGTCCAGACTTAATTATTAACAAACTACCATCTTTCCTTCCCCTTTCCAGAAGCAATTCAATTTAAAAAGGCAA